TTACATTTACGCAACACGGAAAGCCGCAAAACTCTTGAACAAAAGTTAATCTTTCAAATCGGCAGTCTTAATCCCACAGGTAACAACGTTACGGTGGCCAATTTACAATTTCAACTGAGTTGATATAACCAAATTAAGAAATAACTATGACCAGACTGTGTTCAGTTTTACCACATACAACCGCTAAAACTTAAAACTTTGATGAGTCTAATTATATAGGAACAGCGATATTGTTTTTTATTTTGGTTTACCTTCATCAAGTTCTCGTTCAAGTTCCTCGTCAAGTTCTCGTTCAACTATCTGTTCATCCTCATCCGGGGCTTCATAGCTGGCATGCTGCATGATGGGTATTATCATATTTAAGATTTAACGATTGACCGTTCAATGCAAGTAGGTTAACGTGAGTAGCTTTGGTATGAATGAACTACATTCGCGAGAAAAGGAGAACTAATTCGGCTTTATTTTAAACAACAGCAAGCAATACGACTACAAGTATCTCAGTCATTGCCTTATTAGTGTAACAATTGTCATATTCCTTTACAAAAAAAATAAATTGAGTCATGCAGTCATTGGGTTTCACCTGCTCACGTCTCTTCCTCTGTTTTGCTTCATTAGCATCACCATCAGCAGCCTCTTCGTCAGAAAGATCAGCATTGTCATCATCGTCATCATCATCTAACAAACAATATCAATCGGCAAATTACTCCTTTCCAATAAAAGACCTAGCAGGGCCACTATATGGCAATGAATGAGTTTCGGATCCCTGTGTTATGCGCAAAGGCTTATGGGATAGACGGGGGGGGAGGGAAAACATTGCAGGTTTAGAGAAGGATTTAAATGAAGAAAGGTTGTTTCGACGTCCAAAATGAAAACCCACGATTTTGGAGAGAGATGATCACTTTTTTTTTTCACGATTACACACAATTCTTAAACTATCGCATAATTGACTACACGCATAAATCGCGAGGAAAATAACCCAACGCCTTTTCAGTGGTATTTACGTGTTCATAACCATCTTCAATAAACAAGATATGGCAAATTCTGGGAATTTACCTCCTCAAAGGAGAGGTCGTTGCGGATAAAGATATTGATTTTACTGAGCTGGTGTTATTGGGAGGGATGAAATAAGCGACGACTCTCTCCATAAATTTCCTTCCATCAACTTGCGATGCTCACCCCCTGGCGATTCCCTAAGAATTTGCGCAACACAAGGATCCCATTACTGATACCTCACCCATTCGATCAAACAATATCAACTGGCTCACTAATATCGATTAGTGTAAGTAACTCTGTAAATGATATGGGCTCAGGGAAATTTTCAAGGAATGCTATTCGGATTCTTAGGAGGTAAGTTTGGGGAAAAAGCACTTAATGTCATCAAGAGTTTGACCGTGTCTTTCGTAAAACGTATAATATTCTTAGTAGGCTGGGTACTACCTTCTCTGTCGCTATCATTTCTTGGCTGCTCCGTGTTATTAACAGACTCGATAGTTCTAAAGTGTACAAAGCTAAAATAAGTACCTTGACTACACACAGCATAGTACAACCTTCAAAAGGGGAAAGTCTTCATTCATTTGCTCAAATAAGAGTCGGTACGTTTTTTTCATGCTGAAGGAGTACGCCTCGAAAAGTAATTTGGTTATATCAAACAAGTTGATAATGTAAATGGGCCATCGTAAAGGTTTAAAAGCTGACGTTTCGAGAGTGAGCCGTTCGTCAGAGCGAATTGAGGAATTTGAATGATAAACTTTTGTTCAAGAGTTCTGCGGCTTTCCGTGGTACCTAAATGTAAGTCAAGACCGCAGAATGCCATATGCTGCTTAGAATGATTGGCTTAGCTGAGTCCCACTTTGGTATCCAAGACTGCGCCGTTAGTTTGTTTGAAAATTCCAGCTAACTCAATTTATAACGGCAGTCAATTCCTTTCACCTGGCTCTAAAATACACCTGGGAAATTTCTCCCTAGCAACACCAAAGGTGGCTGTCAAACTGACCTTTTGCCACGTTCAACATTTGCGGCTTTCGTAGCAGCCCCAATGACTCTTTTAAAGAAAACTGTTTCCATGTAGTGAAGAACGCCTTCTGAGTTCACAACAAACTCATCCTGTAAGTTAAGGAACAGCTTGGAATTGAAATTTCCACGTAAATGCTGGATCATCATCAGCAAAGGGAACAAGTAATAACATTTAAACTACAAATACCGGGATTCACTCTAAACAAAGCTGTCGAATCAAAATGGGCTGTCAAAATTAGACACAATGTGATTGGCCATTTGATTTTTCTCGCCTAGGATAACAAGCTGTAACCGATCAAAGAACGCATACGAAAGTTTTCATTGTACCAGTTTGGTCGCCTCTCAGAGGGCCGCGGATCACAAAAGTGAATGAAAGTGAATGTTTGCTGCTTGCCCAGAATCACGGCTTCTCGGTAAGCAAACATTGTTTCAGTCGAGGATCAATAAAACGAAACTGAAAAAAAGAGAACGGATGTTGACTAACTGAAGGATTCCAATGAGGCCTCAAACTAGTATTTATTTTTTACTCCAAGCTTTCGCAAATCTACAGCATCGTCAGGGAATGTAAAAAATACATACATCTTTATATTCCTGGCGTAGATGGGTGAATGCTTGGAATAAAAAAACAGCACAAGAGCTCAAAGCCTCAATCGAACTCAGGAGAACTTCTGACGCTGAGAAACATGGCAATGTAGAAAGAGAATCTTGAGATCTGATTAACTACCCGAGTGGGCGAGATGGGCATACCTTGACCGCTTGGAATTGCCCACTTTGATCCAGCACAAGCAAAAAAAAAGAAGTGGAGCGGACGTATGAATATAATTTTTGGACAATCTCGGTCATGGAGTTGAAAAAAGCGGCAGAAGAAAGTCTAAATAAAGAAAAACTAAACGATTTTCGTGGGTCTATTTTGCTACAAAACCCTGAAAATAAAACAATTAAAACATAAAGTGATATGAAAGTATCGAAGTGGTTTTGTCTCACGGAGAAGAAGATAAGAGACGTTAGCCTTATTCCAAGCAAGAACTGAATTTGTCATTGTGGAAATGTACCAATAAAACCACTACAAAAGTGTCATTTGATGAAGTAGACTTTAAAGGCCATGTTAGAGACTCTCACCTTTAATGACGACCCGCTAAGAAATTGAAATCTGATGCGGTACCACCTTTCTCTAAAGAAAAATCAAAGATTACCTTAAGAACTTGCGTTTAAATGCCTCATAGTGCAATGGTTATGACAGACACAATAGTTATCACCGGATGTACACCAGAAATATACCTTAACCATAACACCATAGTAATTAATAAACATAAAATCATGTGTTACTAACTGCGCCCGTGTATAATCCAATGAAAATTCTGCTCGAGGCTATTAATACTTTTGTCTTCATCTTGAAGAATAAATTATGGGTAAATTTATTTTGCGGCTAAAGGAAACCTTCCTCTTCAGCGATCAAGTGCTGCTGGCATCACAGATTTTTTTTTGCCCGTAGTGGGCCCCGAAAAGTAGGATGCAACTCGCAACATATCCGCACCTATTATAAGTTAAACCATCAAGTAAGCTACGTTTATTCGCGCCGTGCAGTGTACCCCTATAATGCTGAGACTTAACATGCTTCATTACACCTTACTTTCCAGTTTGTAATTTCTCACCGTGTTCCAGTAGAAGTTTTGGATGGTAATGACTCCCACACATCCACAGATTGTAATACCTAAAGGAAACAAAATTTCAAGCAGTGTTTCATATGAACCTTGTGGAAGTGCGCTTCTTTCTTACGTGCGGTGACTCGTCATCGAGCCTACGGCAAGTTGTGATATTGATCGATCACTACATCATAATGACGTAGACGATGTCCCGTATGAACGCTTTCACTCAACAACCCCACATCAGTTTGTATGGGCAACCAAAAATCAAGAAAAATCAATTATAATCAGAATCAGTCCACGTTGGTAAAGTTACTGTACGCATCAACGACCAGAGTCCCTTTTGCATATTTCTCCTAACGATTGTCTCCGTGGCGCTGTGGTAAGATATTGGATCGGAAATGCACTGGTCTAAGGAAGATTTTGTGCGAGCTGTCAAGGTGGTATATACCGGTCTCAATGGAGAATGGTATACTGTTTTACATCGATTGGGCATCCAAACACATGGACGCGATGTGGTATACATCCTGTTATTTTGGTTGGCCTTATGAGTTTGGTAGGGTATGTTACAAAGTTCCGTTAGGCTGGGTACATTTTAGCCCAGAAAAAATCATTTATATATTTCTATACATATCATATAAACAAATTTTGAGTAGTTTCTTTTTGGGCCATGTATTGTGGCGAATTCTTTAGTCTGGGTTTGATAAAGTTTAGATTATGGTATTCATTTTGGAGTAGTTTTTATCTCTGAGACAAGGCACTTTAAAGTAGCCATGATATGAATAGAACATCATTTGGGACAAAAGATAATATGATGTTGTACCTGTGCCAAAGTAACTTTTGTTAATTTCCTCTGCAGCCGTTTAGCAAGCTTCTGTGATCTCTTTCTTGGTTTAAGAGGGAGGTCCATACTAGGGGTTTTGATATTTGGACTAGCAGTCATTAAAATTTCCCTACAAACGTATCATTAAACAAAATTACATTCATTGCAGGACTCAATAAATGTGGTGGGTCTCTTCCACAAAAGATATATCCAAGAACATACTGTCATTCAATCGATAAATAAATGGTAACAAATAATAACATTTAAAATGAAAATAATAAAATCCTTCTAGGAGGCAAGAGATAAATTACTATAGTGCAGCATCTAATATATTCTGTCGAGAGTTTCTGTCATCCAAACATTCTGTAATTGTTAAAGGAGGAACAGATAATCAAGGCGAAGAGTAGAGGCAAAGGAGGATGACCAATGATTCCACACATTTCGCTACTTCTACATTTTTTATCCTTATCTCATTTTGGCACCTTTTTTGAAGTGACAGTTCTTTACTGAGCGTCAGTTTTCTGAAGCTGACTCATCTCACCGAGTGTCATGCCAGGCTTGCAACCTAGAGCAGTCTCCAGTTGAGTATGGAAAGTGATCGTAGATTGTTTTGGTTAGGTTTTACCTCGCTCTATGATTGGTCCACAAAACTCGTGCCACCATCTCAACCAATCAAATGCAAATTTGAAACAAATCCCAACTTGGTCAGTCGCATTTACCCACACTTCAAGCAGGCTGCCTGCTTTTATTTCGAGTTCTCGTTATTAAATGTTGATGTTAACCTTTATTCTAACTAGTACTTGTGTTTACTTTGGTGGTGATTTTCCAACACTCAATTGAAAACTGCTCGATCCACAAAAAATAAAGGCATTCGCTTTAACGAGACAAGCTTGCATAGCTAGTATTTATAAAAAAGCAAATGTTTGTTAAATTCTACTTAAGAAATTTAAACGATTACCTTAATCTTGGAATTCCAAGAGTTACATTCATCTCACCCCGGCCGGCAAAGTGAAACGTATTAAGTGTCATTTGAGTAGATGGTTCACCAATAGACTGATAAAAAAAAAACAACAACAACAACAACAACATTGACCTTGTGCTCAAAATTCAGTTTAAGAAACAAGATCTTTTGCAATGTTGTAGAGTTTGGCAACCTTTCTCGTTTAGGGAAAAAATTGCTATCTCTCCTAAAAATGGAATTGTTCCTGGCGAGGACACATTACGTGTATGAACATGAACTACCTTAATTTAACGAACCATACTTACTTATTTGGCCCCGGCTTGGATACAATTTTTTGTCTTTCGAACAATGAGCAGCTGGCCATTAAAGTAACCTTTTTTACATTATCGTTAGGTTTCACGCATTCAACAGATAAATTAAAAAGGTAAAAAAAAAAAAAAGAGATAAAAAACTCATCACCTGAGCTGCCAAGAGTCCAACAGCTTCTCCTGGCTCGACTAGGGCACGGAACGCTTTCAGGTATAACAGGTTTTTGAACTTACTGGCTGGTAACTTCAAACTGAAAAAAAAAAAAAACCAATTTACTCATTTTAAAGCTCAATTTTTCGGTGTTACTTTGATATTCTGGAATACTGAGCGCACGACGTATACCTCAACTTTTAGCCAATATTTACTCATTTTGAAGCTCATGATAAAGAACCGAAACAATTCCAAGTATTTTGCTTTGAAATAACATCTTCCTTTACTTTCAACATCAAGATAAATTTATTATTAACTAGACACCAAACATTCTGTTACGATACAATGGAAAAAAAGGGGGAGGGGGTGGTTTGAGGGAAACTACAGTCATCACAAGCACTCTGTGCTGCAGCGCACTGGGTTCTTCGAGCCACAAAGAGAACACTTATTTCATATGAGCCATTTTTAGGCATTGAATCCGTGGAAAGAAAAAAAAAACTCAAGAGCTATCCACTTAGTATTAACACTGCGAAATGCTTTAGAAACTATTCGCAATGATTGAATTCAATGGTAACCTTTCTTCCAACTCGTCCTCAGTCAAGCATTTGTCAGGGTTTTCTTCCATGTACTTCTTTACAGACGTTAAAATTCTCTCAGAAACAGCTCCAAAGTGTCTGTCTGGCTGCAGCTTTGACAACACAGGGTCAGGAAAACGAGCAGATTTCTTATGATACCTGCACAACAAAATACTCTGTTTGAGTTTAGAAAGGTGCATTTTTTGTCTGAATGGCTGAAACTTTTATGTACAAAGTGCCTTTAAGTTCTTTTTGATTAATTCCTTAACAAGTGAATTGAGAGAGACAAGCGACTTGAAGAGGCCTATAATAGGTTATAAAGCTAAACAAGCTAACTCACCTTCATATTTGGTCCATGACAGAGAATTTGAAATAGGATCATTAACATAGCCAAACATTTGAGATAATGGAAAGTGTGCAAGGCATACATGTTTTAGACATTCCTGATACTAAGTTGCTCGACATTGTAAAGGTTTTGGTACATGCCCAGAAGAAACAGAAGAAAGAGAAGTGACTGAAAAAAACATGTCATAAATTGTGTAAACGCCAATGCGTACGTAGAGAACGATGCCTGAAATATTATTGCTCTCTACGTTAGAGACTATTTTTAAATGGTCGACAGTCACTCCGATGTTAGAGTGCAAGAGTTACAAGACAATCTTCTACGGGTATCTCTTACTTTAGCGAAAGCCACTGACGACAAGTAGAATGTGTGACCAATGTGACAAAATAGACCTTCACAAGTAGTAAGGGTCCCGTTGGCAATTTTACACCAGAAGAATACACTTAGGTTAAGATAAGTCCTGTGCTACGATGCTTCTTTGTACGAACATTCCCTATTTCGACCGTCTTAAAACTTCCTGGATCCATCTGATGAAGATGATGTATCAAAAGTACATGTTGGAAAAAATCATACCACGACAAAAAAATATTTCAAAGTCTTAAATGTCTTCAATGGCACCTCGAGGAAAGAGGGTGAATCTCAGGCATTTCAAGACACTCACCAAAGGAAAACCCACAAAACAGCTCCGCCACTAATCACGTTCAAGGCTGCATGCTTCAAAGGGACTGAGCAGAAGTCCTTGGGAAATTCACACATTTTCAATACCTCAAAACGTTTCTGGATTTAAGTCTACTAGGATCTCATCTTTTCAAAAAATATTCCGAATAGGCGCACAAGTATTAATTAACTAAAAAACAAGAATTATTAATAAAATAAAATAGACATGAGCCATGGGTGAAGGCCCACCTTTTGCGCTCAGTCAAGGGTGCTTCGTTCCATCGATGAAACATCTTTAGATCAGTCTGAGGAGGAAGGAAAAATTTATGGCTCATCTTGACGACAAATCTAACTGAACCTTTCTCTACATTACACTGTCCAGTTGCTACAGTAATTATCGACGGCCAAATTCTTGAAGATGATCATTGATGTGGTATCTGAAAGTTGTTACCAATCTCGGATTTTTATTGCAACTCTTTTTTGCACTAAAATAAATGAGATCAACTCATTCATGTAAATCCTGATTTTCGTTTATTTTCGACACATTGCCTACGCGATTTATAGAGGTAACATTATCTACGCGACCTAAAAATGTAAAGAAAAATAATTATATAAAAAATAATAATAATACTTTTAGACAGAAATTCATTACCTGTTGTACATCAAAATTTGTACAGAGGAACGTTTAGCTTATTTATGCCCTTCCGGTATTATAGCTCACTACGCTAGCATAGCTCACTGGGCCATTCTAGTTTAAGCACTCTCTCTTTAAGGTAGTTACAAAGTAATTCACCCCCAAACCTCAGATCGCCCAAACGTAAGCTGATCACTAGTTGTTTTTCTATTTTGTAGTTCTCTACTCTTGTCTGCGGCAAAACAAAGGTACGGTGAAGTTCTTTCTCTCTGATTCTCTTTCTGTTTTCTCATCGTTTTGTTTATCTGAAAAGGAAAATTGCAAATTCAAAACAAAAAAATAAAAACAAAAATCATGTCAAACTTATCTCGGTGACAGGAAGATGTTCGTCTTTCAATACGTTTATTTTTAACTTCAGTAATATTTTTACATGTCAGTGATAGTCAGCATTTGAGGTGGGGTGAAAACTCATAACTGGAAGGGGGGGGGAAGAGTAAATAAAGCATATCTTATGATCTGTAATTCTCGTCTTATCAATTGATGCATTTTTGTGACTTCGTTAAATGGTAAGGGCAGCAATTGGTCGGTGCTCTTATTCGATGTGGAATGAAATATGAACGTGAAACAAGGCAATGCGACTATGCTGATGTAATTTAATACAAGAGGTGGAGGCACGTGAATAAAATCGGCGAAGAATGAAAATTGAACGAGAAACAAAACAATGTGATTATGCTGCTATAATTTAATCTGAGAGGTGGAGGAACGTTAATAAAATTGGCGAATAATGAGAATTCAAGCGGTGGAAAAAAAACCAGTTTATTCATTAAAGATATAGACTGGGCTTGTCAATTATTGTTATAAATCCAAATAATCTAGATTCTGGTGCTAATTGCACAACGCTTTACCAACAAAGACTGTTTCTCAAGTTCTAGTCGTTATGAAAGTTCTCAACACACCTTGTTTTCAAGCTTGAGTGCTTTTTCTGAATGAAGATGGGGAAGAAGAGCTTTGGGATTCATTTGCTGCAGAAAAGCCTGTGATCATGCAAAAAAAATTGTGCACAAAGTTACATCAAAAGCTGTTTCAGAAAATGCTAGGACTAGGAATTTGTCTAGAAATTCCATTCAACATTATCTGTTTCAATGAAAATAGTGTAAAAAAGTTTTAAGTAGTTTCATGAACTACTTTCCATCGATACTTAGAATAGTCTCGATTCGCGCATACGCAAGAAGAGTTGAAACCAGTTGAAACGACAATCCGCTGTCTTTTAACTTGGCGGCCATCAAGTTTCATGCAATCCCTTCAATCCTGGAAAATTGCCACCACGAGGTCATGTTGATGTATGATAACGAGTTTGAAACAAGGAAAATAAAATTTGAACCAAGGATAAAATTGAACTACAACATATATATTGGGTATAGTTTTCGTTTTAAATCTTATGTCTCCAAGTCTTCGACTTGGATGATACAGAATTTCAACCGCCTACTTCAAGGCAGTTTTTCATAATTTGAGGAAAAGAGGTTAAACGTTCAGAAACAAATTCAGGATGGGAACTTTAACATACGCTTAAAAATTTTCCAGTCGTGTTTGACAGTGTGCAAATAATTGAAATGTTTCCCCTCAAAAGCGACGTGTTTGACTTCTTCATTGACACAGCCAGTTTTATCTTTCTAAAGCATCGAACCATGAGGGCGCTCTCTTTTGCATGTAGTTGAGGAGACATTTTCACTTAATAAAGATGTCCACCTTATAAAATTTTCATGTCTTTTTCCATTGATTAACCGCTAACAAACGAATAATCTAGCTGCTTTAAGCAGGCAGAACTTCCCTAAAATTTATCAAAACTGACAAAAAAGCGTTCTCTGATTGGCCGAGACTTAAGTGATCTCCGACTAAAATCACACCACCTAAGGTGTTAATAAAACTGAAGGATAATGTTAAAACTTGCCACCCCATAAATTCTGTTTGAAAGAGAAACAAATGGAATAACAATTTCTAGCAATTACTGAACTAACGTCATCCTCACACTCAGTGGACTTTGTTTAATAACTTCTCCGATTTCGCGTCACAATTATTTAAAACAATTCATTTTGCTTTTGGCCCCCGACTCTCTTCGACAAATCAGACCAATGAAAACTGTCAATCAGTTCGGCGATTACACGAAAACGTAGAGCGTTTAGCTGTCAGTCAGCGATGCATAGGTGTAACAATGATCACAATCAGATACAATGAAATATATGAAGTTCATATATTTTGTATTGCGGTATTAGATACATATGATGCACGATCCTCGCAGTAGATAGCGCTATCTGAGCAATAGCGAAAATCAGACCTGACAAAAATAGGCCTGTACGGGATTCGAACCACTGACCTCTGCGATACTAGTGCAGCGCTCTACCAATTGAGCTAACAAGCCAACTGGGAGCAGGCCGTTAAGTCGACCCGCAATAAACCCGTGAAAGTGATAAATCAGATACAATGAAATATATGAAGTTCATATATTTTGTACTGCGGTATTAGATACATATGATGAAAAATATAGGCCTATTTTTTTCAGGTCTGATTTTTGCTATTGCTCAGATAGCGTTATCTACTGCGAGGATCGTGCATCATATGTATCTAATACCGCAGTACAAAATATATGAACTTCATATATTTCACTGTATCTGATTTATCACTTTCACGGGTTTATTGCGGGTCGACTTAACGGCCTGCTCCTAGTTGGCTTGTTAGCTCAATTGGTAGAGCGCTGCACTAGTATCGCAGAGGTCAGTGGTTCGAATCCCGTACAGGCCTATTTTTGTCAGGTCTGATTTTCGCTATTGCTCAGATAGCGCTATCTACTGCGAGGATCGTGCATCGTATGTAATGATCACAATGTAAACAAAAATGCAACGAACCTTGTAGTTGTTTGCCACAAAGGGAAACTGCTTCTCAGATAGAAAAGAAGTTTTCATAACATCCAGGCCATCTTCACCATAGTAAAACTGCACAAGAGAGCTGTCACTATCTCGCACAGTAAGATCATAATTGACTAACAGACCCTCCAGGTGTTTAATAAGACAGCGCTGGAGATAGCCACTACGACTTGTTTTCACAGCTGTATCCACAAGGCCCTAAAAACAACAACGCCAACAACACAGCCTCATTTAGTTCATGCTGTGAAGAACATGGATAATCTGGTAATTTTTAATTTTCCTCTTTCAACATGACGCGTAGCTGGACATTGAACACGTGATGCGTTACTAACAGATAATCATATTTTGAAAATGGATGATGGCTGACAAGTTGATTCACAAAGAAAAACTCAAAGACTGAAGAATAAATTCAACTTATGCTTTAGGCCAAATTTTTTAAACGTAAAAAAAATAAATTAAAATCAATGTGTGAATATACCTCTCTTCCTGCCATACAATGAAAGAAATACTCCTGTGGCCTGATTCCTGTCAAGAAACGCCCATCAACAAATCCCCCAGCCCTGGGACTGGTGTCATACGGCAGAAATGAGGGCAAAGACCTTCCACTGACCATAAGGGGTGGTCGATGCCCCTCCAATTCTATCTGCCCCAGGAGGCAGGAAATCTGCATACAGTTGACGGAGGAGCCCTTAGCACCAGACAAAACCATCAGCTGAAGATTGTTTTCTGGAAATCTTTTAAGAAGACCCAAGGGAATGCAAGCCTTGTTGATCATATCTTGGTAATGGTCTGTTTTCTTTTTCATGCTCAGGTCAAGCTGTTTCATATCACTTCCATCCACGTTATGGTGGGCCTCTTGTAGCTTTTGCTCCAGCGTTGACCTTGGACCATTAAAAACGAAAAGTGATCATAAAACTAAAATAACTCACTGTCTGCGAGAAGCATGTCACATTTCACTGCAAGTTTAGTTTCAATAAAATGATACGAAAGGTATTCATATAATTCATATCTGAACAATGCATATCATTTAACTGAAACTCCATCAAAAGCAAAATAAAGCAGTTGGAGGATAACATGCCCATTTTGCTCTTGTAAATCACAGTGAACAACTACCTATGTTTGAAACAGCTGGTCATGAAAACATTTGCTTTTGTCTAACACTCTCTAGTTAGGTGAGACTCATTACTTTATTTGGAATGGGTTCACAATGGGGTTAATGTCAATAAACGGAGAAGTACCCAATCGCTTTACGTTATAAAAAGAAAAGGCCACGAGAATAAAAAAATCATTGCCCAGATATTAAGAAACTTGAGAAAACTTAATACCTAGTTTTTACTAACGGAGATATAAATCACATGGTTTCTCCTTGTTGAAAACATTTACTCACTGTTGCTGTTATAAGAAAATTTGTGAAGACTAGGCAGGAGAATTCGTGTTGATTTGAAAAATCCATATGATGATCCATATGACTGTATCCACCCTTTCAAAGTGAAGTTGCGTCAAAATGGGCATGCAGAGATTATGTTAAGTGCTTAGTTAACTTGTGTACTCCCAGTTCATACCCAGTCCACACCCAGGGAATGATATCATTTACCTAACACATTCATCGGACAAACCAAGAGCCTCTTTTGCAGCTTCACCTCCAGATACTCTCCCCTTCTTTATAAACTTGCGCCTTTTGCTGTCAGCCTTCTCCGTAACTAGGATGTCCTCTACACCCAGGGTGAATCCTTGATATTGAAGGAAAGTTGTGAACACTCTGGCCAGAGCGGTAAGTAGATATCCAGCTACTACTCCACCGTACAACTGAAAGAGTAAATGTTTCAAGAGTAGCGTCAGTGAGTAGACAACAAGCTTAGTATACCTTTAAATAAATCTATCAATGATAAAGACATCTTGTTAAAAATTTTGAGCGATAGAAGAATTACAATAAGTTATACACATATCTCCCATGCTCGGCCGTGACACTGGTGCTTTAAATCATCCAGTAAAATTGGCTCTATTTCAGACGTAAAATGTAGGAGGCGCTGCAATTCTAGCAGGTCCAAGAGCATGGATGATAAGGCTCAGTGGTATCTTCCGAGCAGACTTTCCTCTCCCAGTCACAAGGGACGTTTTCTCGCACAGATCTCGTAAATGAATACTTCAAGAGCTTGTAAATGAGGTGCTGATCCTCCTTTCAAACCACCTGGATAAACTGCATCATCTACATTGCCATTTTATGTGCATGACCTTAAAAAATTAATCTTATTGTATCAAACACTTGCAATGCCACTATGGTTTGAACAAGTTTGTCATGTACCTCACTTCGAGTTGTTTAATGTAGCCAGTGATAAAAGATGATCAAGCGGCTTTGCTAACTTCTCTAGACAGTGATGAGAATTCATTAATGCCGAAATCACACTTCTAAGTACAGTAGGAACAGTGCCTGTAAGATAATCATATGGGCAGTCTCCCCTGTTTAAAGTTACAACGTTATCCTTAGTGATTTGTTTCACTTTTCTAGAACCCCACAGTTCTGATTCTATCCAGCGCGTGACCAGTAAACTATTCTCGATGAACGCGCTCATTTGTTTTAGCTGGGCCATTACTATATGCAGTCTGCTGAGACATACTTTTGTACGCTTTAGATCCTGGCGAGGCCATTTACAGCTTCTTTGCCGATTGGTAAAGCCCCATGTTGTGCGGCATGACTGTCTTTCCTGTTAAACCCACCACCTTTGTTTTGATAATCTGGGCCTGCATTAATTAGGAAAATGCATAAGGTCTGCCACTCATGTGCTGATGCAGTAATCAGGTATGCCTAGTCATGTCACACGTATTGTATCGCCTGATGAGTGAGTCATATTCATGGGCACATCTGCAATCTTTGCAGGCTGATTTTCCAACCCTTGAGAACTCGCAACATTGCTCCGTATTTTTGTTCCTTACATGCCGTCAGTTGGAGCTCTGGTCAAAGAACGCCCAAAAGGCCATGCAAAATCTTGCATCCTGACCCCGTTGGAAGTTTATTCGCAGTAAATCGACTAAATCCTGTGTAAACAAGACTTGGATGGAGAAACAGGACCTTCCAGGAGACTTAAAAGTGATTTGGGAAGCTCTCTTATTGAGCGACTTTGGTGTGGGATATCGATGTCCAAGTCTGGCATCTAGTGGTTGAGATCACTGTTTTGGTATATAGCCCTTGCTATTTCATGAACGGTGCGTTCAGGAAAGTCCACATTGCGGTTAGCAAAAAAAAGATATACGTTAACACCACATCACAAAGTGTGGAGATGGATGTAAACTATAACTGTGATCAACATTTTTGAAAACACTTGATTGCATTTGTCCCCATGTCTTTAGAATTTTTAAATCCAAAACCACATTATACAGCATATGTATCATCTCAATACTGCGGACCCCCTGGTAGACAGCTACGGCTATAGCCAATTTTTGTCAAATTTCAGCTGCCAACCTAACCCGCAGATCTGACTTCTAGTCCGAACCTGTCATTCAGGGCATCCAAATGGTGCTTAGAGCAGGACTTATCGCGTGATGTACCTTGGACCGGCTTGGATGACCTGCCACGAGAAACTGTTTAGTTCCATTGGCAAATTCTGATTGGAAATGGTTCTAAAGACCCAGTGAACTTCCAGTTCTTACATTTCCCAATAGATTTTCTACGTTTCACCCAGTTTCTCTACTCTTGTTCCGTTGGAATGCAGCATCTCTTGTTTGTTTAATGCTTACTCTTTCAGATTTCATTGACTCGCTTTAATTGCCCCATGAAACTCTGGGCCAGGTGCTTCATAAAGTAGCTTCTTCAGTGTCTTTAGTTTGCAGCTTGGATTGAAAACTGTTGGCATCTAAACCATTTTCAGTTGAACAGGGCTGCAATTTTACATTTTCCCATGGTCATCTCTGAAATTGTTAAGAATTCGGCTACCTTATCAATAGGTTACGATGGCGGATCTCTGAATTGATAATAAAAGCCACTGAGGCTTACCTAGAATACCAGCAGTTTGCTTTTTTAACCTTTTTTAATGGATTGATATAAGTGAATATGGGTACTGTGACATGTTAGTTACGACTTGAAAAATTGAAAAAAATCGACAATATATTTCATGATCACCCTTCATTTAATCAGGTATTTTGTGACTCCTCTAAACCAATGTCACAACCTAGATTATGCTGTTTAAGGTCTCTTTATGTAACACTGAGTCGCTTTTCTCATTGATTTGGGTGAACCTCGTCGGTTTCCAGGTACATCGTAATAGCCTTTCACGCATTTCATGGTCCAGCCTTGTTTCCATGCAATTATAGTCATGTGATCAGCCTAACTATATTTTGCCGGGGCATACGTATCACAGTTTAGACCCCCATGACGGCCCTCGGTGCAAATCACTAAATTGCCGACGACATTTTTCCTTGTTTCTTAGGGTTTCCTTAATACATTTATATAGGTGGCTTGCTTTATTTGCAAAATTCCCACAGGCCGTTATTTCACGACAGACGCTCCCTAACTATATGTACAACATATAACAGAGTCAATAAGCATCAGCGGTGAGCATTTTATCATAATTATGACCTCAACTCTTTCTCTTTCTTCCTTTCTTCTTAAAGTTCTCTTCTCAAAGGGTCCGACAGCTTTTTCTGGCTGTGCTCATGTCATTGCGTATGCAACTCAAAAACCGTTTTAGATCTCATGTTTTTTGGAGAAAGTGCGCAAGGAGCAATATAAGTCCTATGGTAATGGATAATAGCGCTTTCATTTCGCTCTAAAGTAGAAATCTTCCCTTTGTACATCGCCCAGCTCTCCCCACCGAAGAGACTGGATTCAGTGGACTTCTCCTCAACATACAGGTAAAGTCTTCACCGCTTAGTTCCTAACATTATTTCAAGGTCGTAGGTCAATGGCTAGTGCAAATACTTACAAACTTAACAGAAAATGGAACACAATGAATTGCACAGATTAGATATGCATACGTAAGCCAGAATCTTCGATACGATTTCAAACTTAATTATATTGCTTCACCGGAGCTTTTATGTACATACCTCATGACAGCAGTGCACTAAACCAAAAGAAGTAGGCCCATAATGCGCTTTGTCCAACACACCACAGAGCAAATGCCCCTGACGGATCACCACCTATATACAATGCGTAAATGCAAATGATACACATTTACCCTACGTGTGATTTTGAGTTATGTCACCTTAAAACAAGAGAGGTATTAAACATTAGTGTTCTACTATAACGTCATTTTAATGTGGCACATGACACGACTAGGAATATTACTGCTTTCCTCTGGATGGGATGCCAAACCATTGCAAGGTTACGCCCAGCATTTCATCAGGCTTTCTTGATAATTCACGAGTGCCATTTATACCCCTGGGTGAGGGAGGCACTGTGAAAGTAAAGTGCTTTTCCCAATGGTCTCAAACCCTGGACCCCTTCACTTGCACAATGAAACAAGGCAAAAATAAGGCAGAAAGCAAAGCAACAAAATGGCCTCAGTGGCTTGTATTTTTGAGTAGCAAAATTTTAAATGCATTAAATGTTTTATTGGTCATAAAAAACACTTTATGTTATTTTCCTGTTCTGCACACTTCTTATGCAATCAGTGTAAAGCTCTAAAATTTCTAAAAATGAAAGCCAAAATACTATGAAAAAAATATTAATAGTGGAATAGTAAAACCCTTTCTTAACCAGTTTAAAACATAATTCAAGCCAACATTCACTCTTCGTTCATTCTTTTCCTTGCACCTATGTGCTCAGAAAAAATTGCATAATTTGTAAAATATCTATTTGTGTCTTATATTAACCCTTTAACTCCCAAGGTCGGACTGTTAATTCTCCCTCTAGCTACTATGCATTTCCTTGTAAATTGGTTATGAAAACTGGGTGTTCAATCAAGATAACAACTTCTACCTGATTTTGAGTATTCTCACTACCTGTTTGCTGGATAATAATTATTGTAACATAACATTCTTCTAACAATCTAACATTCTTACATGAACAGAAAGAATCATTACAGAATATAAAAAACAAAACATAAGTGTAGGATGCATCAAATATGGAGAATAAGAGTCCTTAGAAATATAAAAATTCATGGTGACATAATCAACTTAATTTGTTCAACTTATTTCAAAATTTACCTCTGCCTCAGACATCACATCTCCCTTCAATAGAGGTAATCCAAGAAATTGCTCTTTGGGCTTACCAGTGATCCAATTCTTCATTTCACAGTGTCCAAACAAACAGAGCATGTAAACATTACATCATCAGTTTTCATCAATAACAGTTAAGTTTACTGATTCAAAGCTACTCATAGTAATAGCAGCGTGGGTTAAAAAAGTTCTATAGACTAAGAATCCTAAACACAAATTTTGATTAAGTACATACTTTTCCAACTATCTTGGCTTTGCCTTGCATACTCAGTAGCTTTGCTTCCTCTGGAATGATGTTAAGCAAGACTGTAGAGATGACCTGTGAAACAGCCAAAAACAAATATTAGTAACTAAAAGCTCATTCTGCCTAACAACCATCATGTTTCTAAGGATATGAATTCTACTGGTTCTCATGATTATTCCATCAATTATTATTGACTCTTTGCATTCTTAACTCATTATGCTCCTATCACACCTAGTTTTCCCATTAACTTTAGTCCAGTCTTCTTTCCTAATAAACATTTCTCAATGAAAAGACCTAGATACATTTGCCAAACTCAATAAGCTCAAACTTACTGTACAAACCATTTGACCTAATAAACTAAATGCACTTCTAGAATGATGCTCAACACATAGTTTACAAAAATACTTAGGATCCCCATTACATACACCTAAGGAGACCATAGAAGAAGAAAGAAGGTAAATGTTATGATCCCTGAAATACACCACAGTTCAGCCTGAAGGGTCAAGAAAGTTACAGTTCTTTATATCAATACACACTGTCTTGCATTCATCCATTAACTCTGGTATGACCTTAAAAAAAAAACCTTTCATGTGCTTTGCCCTTACTCATTCCCACATTTGGGATTGATTGTGGCTAGTCTGCATTCTACAAAGTCATCTCAGAGTCTTTGCTTTGTTTCCACAATAGAAAACAGGTATTATTACTTAGAATAGAAATAGAATAGGTTTTATTGAAAAACAATACATAGCAGCCAAGGGCTGAATTGCATACCATTGAAATGCAAATAATAAAAGTACTAAACATATAATAATGCTATATAACAAAGTACTGTTAAGTTCGAAAAGCCACCTACGAGATCTAAAATTAATTTATACTGTATTTGCATTAAAACATGACTTAATAATAAAACTATTTCTTATACGTTTCGTGTTTATTTAAGGAATGTCAAAATTGCGTGTTCGTCGAAGCAAATATTTGCAAGCCTGATGTGAAGCCGGCAATAATGCTCATAACCTACTGTATGATCTGAGTCACTTATGATGTCATTGAAAAGTGTGGCACAAATATCACTATGATGGATGCTAAGCGGTGAATCTCCATGTGACTAAGAGCTTCATTGTAACTGAGGCCAGGGCACATGATTTTTAAAGCCCTCTTCTGGACTCGCTCTGGCTCATTAATTAAATACTTTAGGAGTGAATACACAGGGATTACATAAAAACATTGCCCTATTATGTACCATTTACCATAGTGCTTTCTTGCAAATTAAATGGGTTAATAAAAAACCTAAAGAGTGGACACAATCAAATGAAACACTGACCTGCTTTCCTGACCACAACTCACAAGGTTTGACAATGCAAGGCTTTAGCATCTTTATCTTACTGTTCTTAAAACTAACAGCACTATAAACAAGCTGCTGGTAATCTAACCTGAAAAACAATGAAAAAGATTTGCACAATATTAAACACTACCTAAGCAATAGCAAAGCAAATTTTGGCCTGTCTTGAATTTGAACACATGACCTCTGCGATACCAGCGCAATGCTGGTGCATGAAAAAGTACAGATGCAGGAAATGTAACAACAACTAAAGAGCATTAGTTTTCATAACTTCAGTAAAGTTAGATATATCATTATGTTGCAAGCCTACATATTTGACTGCATTCAGTAAAACAGAAACTACATGTAAATCAAATTAAAGCTCACAAACAAAGTGTCAGAACTGCAAGGCAATACAACCTGAAGCACAGAAAATGTGAAAGATCAAGTGACAATTAAGTTTAGTGACTGACTGGTTAAAATGGTTCCACAATTTCGAGACCAACTTCATGTAGCATAATGAGGCAAAATTGTATAATTTTCAATACTCAGTGGTGCACATTCTAGGTATGGATACCAGCCAAGAAAACTGGGTCTAGTTTTTAAAAAAAGTCAAAAGATAAAGTTTAGGAGAGGGAATTTGTGAAAAGACAAATTAACTACAATATGAGCCATTCAAATGGAGTCCCATTCCACAACTAAAAGCCTTTCCTGGTAGATATTGATGAGAGCATGGCAATCATTAACTGAAAATGTGGTTCACCTTTTTAATTGCTACAAGGAAAGTTTACCTGGAATAATACTTGACTTTACATACTGGACAAAATTTCTGTCTCCAATCATTTTGAATCAGAGCTAGCTATTAAGAATTTTCTCAAAAGATTACTGACAACACCTGCATCAGCTTTTAATGTTCAATTTGTTCCAACAACCAAAGTTCAGGTTGTAAGAAGGATATGGGAAGGGGTTTTCTGTCTTTGTATCCTTTGATGTTTGTCTTGTATGTACCCCATGACTCAGTCACCTGTTAAACATGCGTCCTCGGACAGTCATTCTCACTCCAGCCACCATGTGATCCTGAATTAGTCCATTAAGTGGTGTGCCATCTTTAGGAACCAAGTATTGAAAATTTGTGCTGGCTGAACAAATCAAATCCAAAGGTACCAAGTAAAGCAAAGTAATAACTTTTCATTTTCAGGTACCTAGCCAACCACGCCCTTAAATAATACCCTTGTCTAGGATTTATACAAAAATTCCCTGTCAGCTAAATATCATGGGTGCTAAGGCAAACGTTTTGGCATGCTCTACTTCTTTTTCACCTCACCAGTTAAACTTGTCTTGCTAGAAAAATTGGTTCAAGACACCTGGTTTAACAGATAAAATGTTTCAACTGATTAAAATGACCTAACCACGTAAAATAGCCTTGCTGAATAAATGGCCCAACCAGCTAAAATGGTTTAACTAACTAAATGGTCCATTCTGTAAAAACCATCTACCTAGATAAAAATTAATTATCTAAATGATTAAAATGGTTCCACCAGAGAAATGTTTCAGCTGATTAAGAAGACCCAACCACTTAAAATGGTCTTGCTACAGTCCACAACAAAATTGTTGACAAATTGATCTAATCAACCCTCTATTACTTCAATATTATCTTTATTGCCCTTGTTAAATTAATTTATTCAACCCTCATCCCCCTCAAAACAATGTTGTATCATGAATCCATAACCTTTTAGCAAACATTGAAGGGGGATGGGGTGGTTGTGAATGATTTATACTGTGGTTGAAACAGGAGTGTTAGTCTCCACACATTAAATAAAACTCTTCAAGCATGTGTCAACTAATTTTGACACTGATTGTAAATAAATTGTTCCAACCAGCTAAAATGGTCTAAATTAGCCATCTAAATGAACTGGATAAAATGCTCTAACTGGATAAAATGGTCGAACAGGTTGAAATGATGTAAATAGATAGAAAAAGGTCTGACCAAACAAAATGCTTCAACTCCTCAAATTATTTCAACCAGTGAAAATAAAACAGTATAACCAGATACACTGACGCAACCACACAAAATGATGCAACTGGCTAAAAAATGGTCTAACCAGATAAAAATTAATGCTTCCACCAGTAAGAATAATAACTAGAGAAAATGGTCCAACCACTAAAATGTCCCAACTGCTTAAATGATCTTACTTGATAAAATGCTCTGAACAAAACAAAACAAAAAGATTCAACCAGTGACAAATTCTCTGGGGATTTACCCAGGTACGAGATTATAACACACTACTTTATAAACTTTCAATTGAAAACATGTTTTTGTAAATAACTCGTATGCTTTGCAAGATTGAGGTACATTTCTTTTAAGAAAATGTTAGGAAAAATGCATGTCTTCAATTTGGTTGAGAAAAAGACAAAGACTTTTTTTATGCCTCTGAATGTGAGAAGTAACCTTAAAATGATCCAGCCGGATAAAATGGCCAAACAATAAAAATGGTCCAAGCAGTTAACATGGTCTTGATAGAGGAAATAGTCTGAGTGGTTAAAATAGTCCCATTGGTTAAACTGGTCTAACTATCAGTTAAAATGTTCTACCTAAGTATGTATAATGGTCCAACTGGTGTTGATGGTCTAACTAATAGGTATAAAATGGTCCAACCAGTTTAATTGGTCTCACTAAATTAAATGGTCTGCCGTGTTAAAATAGTCTAGCTTTATAAAATGTTCTACCAGGTGTAAATGGTCTAACTTGATAAAACAGTCCACCAGGCTAAAATAGTCTAGCTAAATGTAATGGTCCACACAACGAAAATGGCCCAACTAGATAACAATATTGGTCTGACCAGATAAAATGGTCCAAGTGGTTAGGCCAACCTAACAAGAGAAAATGGACTCACTAGTCCAAATGGTCTAGCTAGATGAAATGGTCCAAACTAGCCTAACTCATTGTCTGTACAAGTCTGTGGGGCAACTTCTAAAAATTATGCATGCTTTCCCAGGTTTGGTGGCCTCTAAAAGGCATGCTTTTTGATCACACATATCGTGTCAATCAGTTTAAAGGTCTCGTAATAAAGAAGGATCAACACCATTCAAGAACAAGAAACAAAAGGTCAAAGGGATACAGGTTATAAAGTTGACATGTTGATCACATTCAACAACTCAGTCACAAACCTATGTTGTAGGCTTCAGCCCTAGCCAATTCATTTTGAGGAAAATGAGCATTCATCTCATCACCATCAAAATCAGCATTATAAGACTTGCAATTGGCATAATGGAGACGAATGGTCTTTTCCCCAGGAAGTACACGAGCCTCAAAGCAATAAAAAAAGTAAAGAGTTAGCTTTATCTACAGATAAACTGCTATTGGCCCTTAACAGTGACTAAAACTGTGCTTTTTCTTTACAGGTGGGGGAACTATTACCAACTGAGTCACAAACCAACCTGTGAAGATTGAGGAGAAATTTTTGGTAGGGTCCTTGTTCACTTAGAGGGATTTAATGACTAATAGTACAAAAAATGAATAAAGTTTCACTAGTGGATCAGAAGTCATACATAATTTTATTTAAATTACTGCTTTAACCTTTAATATAGTTACTGATAATTTAATATCACTTACTTGTAAGTTTACTATTTGTTTTTAGTAAAGAATAGTTTCATTTTCTCACCTTGTGTGCCATCATACTTGGCCTATGAAGTGAAGGCTGTCTGTTAAGCAACAAAACATCTCCATTCTGAAGGTGTCGATAGACCTGTGGATGACCATAATACATTTTATAAGTACTATCATCTTTATAAAACTTTGAAGGATTCTCTTTCATTGTGTTCATCTTTAATTCTACTCTCTTCTCCCTCAAAATGCCCTCTTGTTTCTTTGGATCAAAAAAATGAAAAAGTAAAATGCTGCAGCTTGCCACTTGACCACTGAGTCACTAGTTTGGTGAGTTTCATAGAAATTTAGTCATCAAAATCTTTCCTGCTTGCCTTAGATAACAACATAGCTGCAGCCTAGAGGGTCACTCAGTATGGTGTTTTTTGTTTGCAACATTGTTTGCCCACTTCATAGCAGTGACTAGATTTCACCACCATTTTCTCAGTGACCACGTTTACTTAATATCCAAATTATAAATCCTAGTCCTCACTGTCCTAAATCTGAATGACTCCCCTCCAACATTTTATAACTTTGCAAAGTAACTACTTAAATTCTTATAAATATGTTAGTCCTACCTAGATTTAGATTTCCTTTTCATTTCTGTTGCATTATATTTTAGCACCAAATGTTTAAATAAGTCCTTTACAAGTAACAGTTCTTCTATGAAAGATATCTATATACACTTGCTTGGGTTTATATACACAGTCATACGAGTGTGCACTTTTATGGAAAAGGATTCCATATAAAAATAGAACTGAACACATGAAACCCACAGATTAAGTCAACAGTCATCAACAATCAAAGGTCCTTTCTACAAAGCATGGGTAAACAGTCAGCTAAAGCAAAAAGAGAATTTACTTAAGGAAATCGTTCTTCCTTAACAATCAAAAATAAGCATAATAGTTGGGGTTTGTGTCATTTCGAAGAGTGTAAAGCTCAGTTACAGTGTTAGTAATATTTGAACCAAAAAGAGAAAATCAGGCCACTTTGCATAGATGTACACTAATGTGAAATTAACCCCTACTGACGTAACCACCCCTGGTAGAACAGCAGTCCAGATCATACTTAGATGGAACCCTATGTAGGATTAAGAAACTTTCCTGGTACAATCATCTTTGCAATTTTCAAGCTTGTGTTTTAAAAATGAGAAAGGTGCACAACTTTACCTTCTTACAACGGCAAACTGATGTCCTTATGTTGGTTGATGGTGTAAGCAGGCGCTTTGCAATTGCCTGTCTTTGGTTGGGATCAGTTTTACTTAGAAGGGTTATTTTGCCATCTTCATTTTCAACAAAGCTTGCCCTGTTGAAACAGGAAAAAAAGACAGCAGAGTTCAAAAGACAGTGCTTTCTTAACAAACTGAGACCTACCTAGAAGGTGCAGTACATGCATATACTGCTACATTAACTAAATGAAATTAATTTCTGCACAATGGCCTTGTATGCAGCTATGAGACAAGTTGTTAGTATCACTTGAAAAACATAAATGGTATATTTAACTTGACAAATATTAATTTTTAAAGCATTTTGTGAAATTCAACCGCCTTATCATTGCTGAAGATATCTCTAGCACTACACTCTACAACAAAGGAACTCTTTCATACCATAAAAGGACCTTTACTAGTAAGATAGCAGTCACCAAAACATGAAAATAGCCATCATAAATATTTTATCCATTCCTGTCTGAGTAAGGCCTATAACCCAAGCACTACCACCAGTCATTGAAAGTATCATGTAAACATAATTATCTTGTGTTTAATTATCAAAACTGTTTTACACAATGATGGGTTATAAAAAGGGGCAGTCTCAGTAGCCTTTTGAGAGCCTTAAATTGTAAGATTCAGAACAAAACTATTGACTAGAAATGAGATGTTTTGTTTTTGTGTGAGAAAAAGAACAGAAGCACAAAGAGAAAGGTAGTTACTAAAATGTGGAACAACCCAAAACCATCCAAAACCCACCCAAAACAAAAAAGGTCATGCAAAGGCCTGGGCAAGTAGGCTTGGCTACTGAGTTGAGCCTGGTTTCTAAGCAATTTCAGAAAGTGATCCCCAAAAAATTTTTTGCTCCACGTGTTTTTGTCCTTGGAGTGATGTAGAATGGCGACCACATTTTTTTTTGTTTTTTTTGTTTTTAATATACTCTAGTGAGCAGCACACAGCAACAGATCTTGCCAATTTCTTTATTTTCTCCTACCAGTTTCGTCTGATAACACAGACTTTATCAGGGAGTTTGAACAAGATAGTGAAGGAACTTATTTTATACCTAATAATTGTAGGACAAATCACATTCCAACAAGGGTGTGAACAGCGAAAAAAAAACACCCTAAAAACATTACGTGCAGGATATGACTAAAATCCTGCGTGACGCTAAAAATGTGCAATGTTTAATTTTAGAATGAGGATTAAATCCGTGAGCCCCAAAATTAAACATTCTCATTCTAAAATTAAACATTGCACATTTTTAGCGTCTCGCAGGATTTTAGTCATATCTTGCACGTAATGTTTTTAGGGTGTTTTTTTGCTGTTCACACCCTTATTGGAACGTGATTTGTACTACAATGAATAGGTATAAAATAAGTTCCTTCACTATCTTGTTCAAACTCCCTGACGAAGTCTGCGTTATCAGACGAAACCGGTAGGAGAAAATAAAGAAGTTGGCAAGATCTGTTGCTGTGTGCTGCTCACTAGAGTATGTTTAAAAAATTAAAAAAATAAAAAATGGACAACCTTTTTTGTTGTTGGTGGGTTTGAAATGGCTAGTTATGGACGAGAGGCTGTGATTTTACTTGATATTAGCTAAGGCCTTTTAACCAGTGTGGCGGTCCTCTTTTGGTGGCAGTGATGTTATTTCAAGTAGATCCTCTAGAGCTAGTTTTTTTCCAAAACAACGAGCTCTCCCTTCATCAGAAACAAAAATACCGTAACAGCTCGCCCTTCCTCCCCCCCCTCCAATAAGTCCCCCTCATGCCTATTAGAGCCTTTACTGTAGTTGAAAGTGACACCAACCTTATCCACTTAAAGTTCTCTTCGTTTACCAATCATACTGAACATTTTTTATATCCCTGGTACGATCAGATAAATGGATGTTAACAGGAACTTTAACAACTGAGAACACAAGAATCATCCGCGTAGTAAACGCAAACTCAAATTTTAACACCAGGAAAATGAAAAACGTTTTGCGACCTAAGGCAAGTAAGTATCTTAGTGTTTTTATGGTTGCATTTTATGTCTTCTACTCCTATGTCAATGTTATGTTGACGTGCTTAATACCCTGCAAGCAGAGGTTTTTTCTACTCTACGAGGAAAAGGACAACTTTCCTTTTACTTGTCGCATGGAAGGGAGTAGAAAAAAACCTCTGCTGCAGGGTACGTGCTAAAATACTACGTTGAATACATGTTCAAGACACGTTTTTAATGAGGTGCACTTCTTGCGATTGTGCTGCAATCCAGCGAGCCCTTCGGAAAAAACACGTCACTGACTAGGGCAGAAGTTGCAAGACACAATTCACTGAATTGAATTCAGAAAGCACGTATTTGATTTCTGAAATTGCTTAGAAACCAGGCTCAACTCAGTAGCCAAGCTTACTTGCCCAGGCCTTTGTGTGCTTGCTGACCCTTTTCGTTTTGGGTGGTTTTTGGGTGGTTGTGGGTGGTTTTGGGTTGTTTTTGGGTGGTTGTGGGTGGTTTTGGGTGGTTCCATGTTTTAGTAACTACCCAAAGAGAAAACCAATGACCAACTCTCCCTGTAAATAGTTTACAGCTTTTCAAGTGTCATCAGTGAAAAGTTAATTTTACATAACATGTCCAAGCAGCAAAATTTTGCAGACTTTGCAGTTTAGAGCATACAGTCTAGATCCTAACCCAGGATGTTGAAGAGGACCATTAATGACAGCCTGTCTTAGCTGCTTTACATTCCAGTGAGTTACAGGTTGTGGGTATGTCAGCTTCAAAGCAAATACCTAGCAAGGGCAAAAAGACAGTACAGTTAAACATAATTAAATAATTATTTTTTTACTGGTTGTCTGAATGTTGCTTTATTCCCAGTCATCTGTGGAAAACAAAACAACTTTAAAACACCTTTGCAAATTAGTTTTTTCACTCCCTGGAGTAACCAAAATTGAATTCCAGTTCTAACAGTATCATTTGATTCCATAGACCAAATTCACAGTTAGTTTTCAGTTATTACAGAGCTGAAGTACATCAACAACTTCAAGTTGAGAGTTTTTATTCTTGGTGCTTACTATGAATAAGTTTTTGTCTACACCGTTTGGTTGATACCAAAACAAAGACTTTCAGTTTATGTGTTGATTTCAAAAAACATCAAAATTAGTTAAATTCTTCTTTCTGCCACCGTTTACATCTCAAAAATGTCTTTGATACATTTTTTAGATGTATATTTAAAGGAATGACAGATGATCCATTGTGAAAAAGGAAATTTTTAATGGTTTAAGTTTCTGCTTGTTTTTGAATTCTACAATTACATTTGAAAGAGGAAAACTTCAAACAAAAAAACATAATTAATCAGTCACACAAAACAACCTCTTATTACCTCTGGGATTCCAATCTCATCCACATTCAGGAATGGATCAGGTGAAATCACCGATCTGCAAGCATAGTCCACCCTCTTTCCCATCATGTGCTTTCTAAACAAACCCTCTTTCTTTTCCAGTATCTGTAACAACAGTTAAGATCATTCATTAAAAAGGTAAACATAATCCATCCATCCAATCAAGTACAATTATTCCATGGGCACATGTTAGATATGAGATAGTAAATAGCCAATGATGCATGTAGTACCAACTTGGCTTTTCCCAATCTTGTACTCAACAAGAACAAATGGCCCATTTGTTCTTGAAAAACTGTTTTATCAAATTTTTCCACTATTTGGTATCGCTGTGGGGTGTTACTAAATTAGTTTAGCTCTCAAATTTAAGCGACTAGAAAGCCAATGTTACTTCTGACCACCAATACAGCAAAACTTGAATCACATGACATGTGATGGGCATGATATAATAAAAGTGTGTTAGAGTTTATCAACAAGTGAAAAAATCGTGCACAGTTTGTTCTCTTTTTTTGTCTAACTGGAACCAAGCAAACCAAGTGATCTTGGACAACTTTCGTTGAAATATCCTGAACTCAATTTAGCACTCTTAGTGTACAAGTTACAAACTTACTAGCTTAAAGACAAACATTCCATTAAGTTCACAAACTTCAAACTTATCTTGGAGTGTTGCACACATTTGCAAATGTTTTGCTGTGTGGTAGCAAATGGAAGAAATCAATCTTAAGGCTACTCAAAAAGACTCCAAAGGTGAGCTTCGAGGCAAAAAGCTAAGTTTTCTTTGTGCTGCCATAATTTACATTGAGTTTGGGAATATTGTGTTGTTAAGGTGATTCCTCAATATTGCATTGCATATTTGTACTGCACACAAAAATCACATAATCGAGCGATTAAGCACAAGCACATTCAAAGAACACAGTACTGTTTTTCAATCAGTGGACCAGGTAAAAGGTGTGATGGTCTTGAGCTCTTGAATGGGCTCAGTGACCTATATCTTTTGTTGCATAATTTTGATGTACAAATTATTTCCTTTAAATTGGAGAAATTAAAAAAAAAATTATCCAAGGGGAAAAAAGATATAGTTAAAAAGTGTGCATGAAGTCCATTATTCTATGATGTAAATTATGACTTTGAAGGCAACAACTTGAGTAAAGTTTCAAGTCAATGTCATTTAAAATTGTCTAATGTTTTCACAAATTTCATATCAAATTGTTCCATACAATCAAGACTTTCTACCTATCAAATTTTTTTCAAGTGTTACTTTGCTTCCAGCTACCGCAAAATGTACCTTGAACCGATGAAATGATGCACGTGATTAGTGCCAGAAGCAGGCATAAATGGGGTAAGATTGACCTATTATAACTCTTAAACAAGCAAGTGATCTATCTTTTTTATTATATTTTCCAAAACAAACAGTGGTAGGGAACATTTAAGGAAAGTTTAAAAAAATTTGTTCTATAACTTCTTTTTCTGAGGAATCACCTTAACCAATATTATTCAGCATTTTTACTTTTAGTTTTGAGCTCCAAATGGTCTACCTCAATGAGAATGCAACAGAAAAACACTCTTAAAAGGTTTAAAACCTTGCAAAGTAAAACTGCACATATTGAGTTATGTATGCACAGCTGTGCAATAAACACCATTTGACTAGTACATGTATCTATTTCCAATGAATAGAAGTGTTTGTTTCTGCCAAAAGTAAATTTAGCATAGCAGCACTTGGATGAATCATTATCCAAAGGCATATAAGGTGATTTACTACACAAGTTGAGTAATAAAACCAAAAATAAATTACAGGAAGTTGACTCATCTTGCAAGACCACAGCAACCATTAAAACTGTGCTGCCAAGGTTTCATTCCCATAAAGAAATGAGAGTTGCTGGAGTGGATTATATTTCTGCAGACCTGCCTCTCAAATTTTATCCCCAAAAAGCAAAATGGCCTTGAGGAATATGGCCTTGAGACAAGTATGCACATGGCAGATTTAGGCAAGACTTCTTCACATTCACTTCTTAGGTGTCCTCAGCATGATCTCATTGATAAGTAAGTCCATGTGTTGTGCTTGTTTGTTAACTTTTTAAAAATCTTTATAAGTAAAATATAAAAAGTATGACAGAAATACAATTCATGCATGTGTAACTTTGCTGTACATGAATACAGTTTGGTTTATTCTATTGAGTGCAATTTTATATGCATATGTACGCAGTTCAAGACATGTATGTAACAGTCAAATTGATATACGTACTGCGTCAAAACTGGGATGCCATTCGATTTATTTCGGTAAGTTTCAATTATACAGTAAAATTATACTCCGGAACATGTTTTTACACCAGTTAAGAGGAAAGAGATAAGTTGATGACTCAATTCATAACACAACTGAGGCTTTAATTGAACTGGTGAAATGAATACAAAACGAGTGGGCTTACAGACTAAAGTAGAACCTTCATGCCTATAACTAATGCACTGCTGTCCGGTGCTGGCGTTAGGTATTACCTAACCTGATTATTTAACAATGGCTTGCATCATCTGGCTACTTCTGCAAGGTACACACTTACTGCACTTTATCAGGCAGCAGTCCTTATAAAAGAGTGGTACCAGAGGATTTTCAAAGACAATTAGCCAATCAGATGTAGTATCCCTAGCACTGTTTAGATTTTCCTCCTCCTCTCCTTCTCAAGTCCTGAATTACCCTTCCCTTCCTGTTTGTGCAGGCCCAGGTTGCACAGTTATAAGTCTTCCTTTGACACAACAAAACTATATTCAGACTCATCAGAAGATCATTAATGGGCAGTTCTTCTTAGGCTAGAAAAAGGAATTTGGACAAGGCATTTCAAGGGCACTATAAAGGTACATTTGCAGTGTTTACAAGAAATAAAATTACACTGTAAACTGCAATAAACACTCCTTTCTTCTTCTCTTTCTGCTATGTTTGTTGTCTGGATGTATAACAAAGTATGTCTGGTCCCTTGGTGAAACAGTTAGTCTTGTTTTCTGGCAAGTCCCAATGTTCAACAAAACAAATCAAGGAAAATATTGAGACTCTTGACAAAATAAAACTGTTTCCGGCTTCCAGGAGTAGACATAAAATGTAAAATATCAGAGTTGTTACTGTTCTGATTAGAAGCTTACCTGTCTGATTCCTGGGAATTTAAGGTGTGATACCTTATCCAAATCACTGTCAATATAGCAGTTGATATCAGTTTGTAGCATTAGCCAAGCACTGTGAAGTCTTTCAGTGGCAGTCTTACCAGGTACAGTAGCTGGAGCATTCTTACCCTTAGAATTGAGATTTAACAATATCAATATTCTAAGTGAAAATGTGAAACCAATTCATAAATACCAAATCACAAAGTGGGCTATTTCAGGGCTGATAACCCTAATCATTCAACCAGACTGTATTACTTCTAGTCCTACCAGGGCTGATATTTCCCTTATAAATTTATTTTGTTATTTATATATTTATTTTTGTTATTATTGTCATTTGTCCTCTCTCTGATAAGTCTCCTTGCACTCACAATTACACATATAAATGATGCATGACATATATATTGTAAATTTATTAGTGCATGTGATTTAATGTTTTTTGTTTAGTGTAAAGTTAACCAGGCATTGTTAATAACTTATTGTGCTCCATGCACTGCCATTACCATCATCATCATTTGTATTTTGAGTGCTGTAAAATAGCAAATTAAATTTAACTACTCTCAGTATTGTAGATGTACTGTTTCATTATGTAGGGCTTGGTAGTGCAAGTAACAAAAATTAATTCATAAAGATGTCGGGAAAAAAATCCAATTATTCAGTAGTTGAAAAAAATCATTAACATACAAAAACTTTCTTTCTCCTTTCTAATTGTGCATCCTTATCATCAGGTAGAGGATTGTTCAAATCCTGGAGGCAGCTTCTGACAAGTACACAGTCTTCCATGATCTTCTTTAGGTTTTTTGTTTGTGGATTCTCAAAATGTTTATCATCGAACTTTGAAAGCTGCATATTGTAATGTAAAAAAAGTAAATAAAAAAAATTAAAAAAAAGTGTGTCAAAATACATTTAAACTCATCAGTGTTATCACAGTACAGGTGTATACCAATCATGCTGTTAGGTCTAACATATGACTGGGTTTATAGAACATTTTTGTGATACAGCAGATACTATGCTGTGAATCATATGAACATGGTTTAGATTGCAACTCTGGAAAATATGGAGAATACAGATTTTCACAATTTGCACTTCCATTAGTAAAACAAGTAATTGACCTATGACAAACACTTATTGAATACACTTAGATAACAGTTGCTCAGTCCTTTGAAGGACAAAGAAAGCTTTTCAGCTAGAAACTTCAGGAGAAGAAACTTCAGGAGAAGAAACTGCAGGAGAACATACTCACAGGTCTAAACCTTGATGGTGCAACTGGAAGGATCTCTATAAAGAACATATCTGCAGAACACCACCTCCGTTTGGCTGTTGGAGATGGATATGCTCCATAAAGAATGCTAAGAAATACACCATGTTTTTCCCAAACTTTAAAAATTTGTTTTTGAACTTCAACTGGAGTTAAGTAAGTTTGAACCATCAGTTTCTTAATATTGGTATCTCTTCTTTTAGCTGGATCATCAACTGAATCAACTGTGTACTCTAAAAACAGGAAAAAAACATTAGTTGGTAGACTGACCATAAGGAGCAGACTGAGGTATTTGTAGACCAAATCCAGATTTTTTTACACCCCAAAACATCTAACCAATAAACGTTTTGTTCACCTATAGCATCAATGATAATCAATAGTCTTAGCCTAATAACTCAAGAGCACTGTATGATATTGATGTATTTTACACTATTAAATCATTTAATACAAGTTAATGTAAAAGACAAGTGCATTGCCCTTTTCAAACCAAACTATTGCAGAAAAGAAAGTTCAGTTGTGAGTTGAAATACTGGTAAAGAGAAACCTCTTTGATTCAAATTCCTGGACAGTACAAGAATGAAACAAAATCAACAACCACTAAAAAACACACAAAAATATTTTGACTCTGTTACCTCTCTTGTCAGTATTTTCAACTGAGTCATTTGTCACTGAAAGTGAATCATGTTGAGCCAAGTGTGCATTAGCCAACTGAGTGTTAACCCATTTATTTGCCTCTTTCAAGGACAAACCCTTCATAAATACACGACTGTGGTATTCACTTCTAACATCCCGAGAAGGTGCTTCACATCCTGGACAAGAACGTTTTTTTTTACCCATATGAGCATACATAAACTCTTTGATAATTCTATGCCTGCAATCTGTGACATTTTTAGCAGTTGATTCTCTTCTGGCTCCTTTCTTGTCTATATTGTTGAACTCCTTCCTTAAATATTCATCCACAGCTGCTATGCACATTTTATCTTCAGGCAGACTGTGCTGCTTGTAATCAGAGGAGTCAGGATTATTAAGAGAACCAAAGGCCATTTGTGAAAGCTCTTCAGCAACTGTGATTAACCCATAATCTAACACTTTCATCTGGCTGCAAGACACACCAAATGTAGTAACAAGTTATTTTAAGTGCCTCAAGTGAATATTAACAATTGTTTGTATAGAGAAAGGTTGTGACATTGCCACAATTTTCTTCCCCCTTATAATTTTTGGACTGACACCAGATAAAAAGGAGTGTAGAAAACAACAACAACAAAAAAATCCTTATCTTCAACTGACACATATTTATCATTACTGTATAAACACCAGTGAAATACAAGGAGCTTTGCGTGAAAATGTGGTATCTCCACCCATAAAAATATCATGTTATCTCCACACATGAAAATAACATTGCTACTTTGTTTGCCCAATAAATTGTGCAAATGTGAAATGGTTTGGTTTTTCATTGGTGTGTAAATAATAAATAGAATATTACATGGGCACTTGGAGATACAAAATTTTTATCTCCATAGGACCATGTATTATCTTCTTTATTCGATTTTAACGTTGATAGAACGCTAATAGTCAGATTAGAGGAACAATCATCTCAACAATAATGAAGATTTGTTTCTTTGCAGAAAGCATCAAACTCGTGGTTAGGGTAGGCCTTTACCAGGGTCCTAATGGAACAAACAAAAAATTTTTTTTGAGGTCAAGTACCTCACCCCCACGGGTAAAAAATGTCAATACTGTGTTTAATTCATGTACTGGAAACTTCATCTTTGCTCTACAAGTGGACTATGATGCTATGAAAAAGATTAACAGGCATCACGTTGAAATATAAATGAAAAAAGTTCCTAAAGGAAATTTTTACCTATAAAAAGCTGATTAAATATAAACTCCATGTGACTTACCTTATGAAGACATGCATAACAGCTCTTGAAAATAAAAGATCTCCGCACCTGAAACATGACGACCGCAAAATCGCCAATAACTCTTTGAAGAATAAAGGATGATACACTGGTAACGGAAGCTCAACATGACCAAAATGTCCAGGACAGTAAATGTAGTTCTGTGCACATGTTCCACACAAGTCATCTTTATCAGTCGGACCTAATGCTGGGTCATAAAGACCTCCAAAATTCGGATGTAACAACGCATCAAACGTTTCAGGATTCGTTAAATTTTTAACACTTATTTTTTTTGTTTCATCTGGTGTATACAAAGCTAGTCTTAGACCTTCCAAATGATGGTAAGGAACTGCATTTGACCCAAACATTGTCAGTGTTTACGCCGCTCATCCACGTGTGGCGACACTTCATTTCAGAGTACATGAACAAGGAGATATTGGACTATTACCCGCTAGGAATTTGTATTGCTGGCTATAAAGCTCAATGTGGCGGGAGTGTCGGCGGGAATAATCGCCGCGGCAATGGCAGGAATGCACGCCAGACTGTTCGTCGGCAGAAGTATTAATATTTTTGGCAGGTAAATGTACTGCTGGTATCTCTCAGAGCGCAGTCTTGAAGCATCCCCAAGTCAGAATTTGCTTAACCCCAACTTGTTATTATTTTCGACTGCAATCTGGTAATCGAGTAAATTTTTCCAAGACAACAAAATTGCAATTTGTAGTCTTTGAAATATTTACAACTGCTTATTTACACCAATTGGCACAAGTAATCGTGTTATAACTTATTGATGATTTATATGAGAAAAGCACCATAGAAAGTCAAGACACCTAATTTTGGCAGCGCGCGCTATTACTCATTTGCGTCGGAAAAGAAATGTTAAATGGGAATTCTATCTCAACTTCTTTTAAAGTCACCATTTGTAGATCTAAAATCACATAATGGTCGCCAGATATTAAATTTTGGTAGATAAAGCAAAACAGGGTGTTTAACGAGGCTGTAGTGTTGCTATGCAAGCCTTTATAATTAAAAAGATTATCATAAATTGTTGAAAACTAAAAACCCTTTTTTTCATATATCCATATACCAAGCTAGTACAAAGCAACAATTATAAAAAGTGGAGGAGCTAAAATCCAACTTGAGTAAAACCCTCTGAATTACTGTCACAGTGCCTCTCTCTGTCCAGGAGTATAAATGGATACAGGTAAACTGTCAAAGAAAGCTGACAAAATTACTGGGGGCAACTTGCATTAGACTAGTATCCCATCCAGGAGGAGTAGCAATACTGTAAGCTGCTTCAGGCCACTTGGCTCAAGTGCACACTTCCCTTTTTTTACCTAACATCAATTAAGACAACAAAACTGCTTTTTCTCTCAGTGTGTGTTTTTAACCCAGTCTGTGGTCTGAACTCTGCACTTTGTACTCAGTCCACAGTCTGCGTTTTGCACCAATCATAATACAATGATCTGATGAAGGGTCTCTGCCCCTGATATCAACCCCAGTGTAAGGCTCAAGATGGCTGACTGTAATCTGTGAAATGATACAAAACACATTGAAAATCCTTTTGGAAAATAAATATCTGTAATTTGTGAAATGGAAATCTGTAATTTGAGTAATGAGAATCCCTGTGGAAAACTCCACTGGCCAGAAGGATGATTTGGTCAGTTCACCACAAGTGTGCATTGCTTATGCAAACTAGTGAAGTGTGAGATGAAAAAATCTCTGTTATTTACTTTGTGAAATCTTCACTATGTTTGTGCATGAATCAATGCATCAGCAAGGTGTATGTAAAGGAAGAATTGAACCATTAAGCCATAAAATGTATACCTGTAATTTGAGAATTTCCTGGTGCTGTAGCTGTGCTGTTTGTAAGGTATAATGAATGTATGTAATGTTTCTAAATGAAATGTTGTGCTTGAAAATTGAGTCATTAAATTTTTAACGGACAAAGGTTGGTGTGACCTTTTGAACAAGGGAAATTGAAACCCAAGCTTTACCTTTAATAAATTCTGGAAAATTTTCCCTTCCAGATATATCTTCAAAATGCACTTGATGAAAACAGTCCAAGCAACAGGCATTCTCTTTTTGTAAAATACAAGTTCCCATTTTACAAATTATAGATTTCCACTTCACAAATTACCGATTTCCATTTCCCAAATTACAGATTTACATTTTGCAAATTACAGATTTCTATTTTGCAAACTACAGATTTCCTTTTTGCAAACTACATATTTTCATTTCGCAAATTACAGATTTTTATTTCATTTTGTTTAGTTATAAGTAAGCCCTCAAGATGGGCATGAAAATATCGTTGGAAATTACAAGAAATGAATCACCTGTGCACACTATTAAGTATTTTAAAGACATGTTGGATCATAGTGGTTATTGGATAGATCCTTTACCTTTCCTCATCTGCATAATTCATTGTGCATTTATTAATGCGGTCATTTTCTCTCTTATTTCTAGAAAGGAAATTTTCTATGATTTTGTCAAGTCAATAGTAACCAGCTCTCGTATAACATCAGACAAAAATGTGAAGATGACTGGTCTGTCAAAGCAGTATCTCTCAATAAAGAACAAATATCCTGAATTCATTGTACTCTTTCAAGTTGGTGATTTTTATGAAATCTACAGTAGTGATGCTGTGAAAGTTGCAGAGAAAACATCTCTACGAATTTCAAGAAATCCAAATGTGAACAAATTAATGGCTGGCTTTCCTGTGAGGTCTTTGGACAGCTGGCTCTCAACTCTTGTTCAGCAAGGCTTTCAACTGGCAATCTGTCCACAGTTTCCAGACAAGTGGGTAAAATGATACTGTGTACTTGAAAGTAATATACTTCAGTATGACTATCAATATATGAAAATCATATATGTCAAGATCACTGCAAAGATTACTGCAGAGATCACTCTCACATTTATAAATTTCAGTATGTCTGGTACAAGTTGTTAGGATTATGAGGAGTATCGTGCCAGAACAACCACTAGATCAAGATAATTGTTGCTGCTCTCTCACAAATCTGTCTCTCACAGGACACCATCCACATCTAAGCTACTTCATCGTGAGGTTGTAAGACTTGTTACACCAGGAACACTGCTTGATCCTCTCAAACCTGATGCAAACTTCCTCATGAGCATTGCTTGTGGACCAGATTCCTCACTTGGCTTTGCCTGGCTTGATTTGTCAACTGGTGAGTTTCACCATGGTGTCTCACAAGTAGAGAATTTGGAAGAAGACTTGTCAAGAATTAATCCAGCAGAGGTGGGCACTGCACTGTGCAATACATTCAATTCTAATGTGGATCACCCCCTTTCTATTTAAGTATGTGCAGCCAGTATTCAGGGCATGAGGTCAAGTGCTTGCTTGCTAACTTAGGAAGGATTATGCCCTGCTGTGATTGGAGCGTTTGGAAGATCTGTTACTCTAGCATCAATATTTGATGGATATGACAATCAACTTAAATTTTATCAAATGAGGCAGTGTTCTATGTTGTTTTGGCTTTTCTTGATTGTGACACAGTCTCTGATTTGAAAACAAGTCATATGGCTAGTTATTGGAGTGGGCAGTGGCAAAGTTGTTTAATCAGACCTCTGACTCACATGTATGGTTGAACAGCAGTGTATTGAACTCTATCAAAGGCTCAATATGGAGCAATTTTTTAACAAGTGAACCTCAACACCTAAAGATGACTAGCAGTCTGCAGTTGAAATTTTGTGATCTTCAGAAGAAGTGATTGTCATATAGGTCAAGTGATGATATGTCATTGATATGGTGTTATCATAACCACATTCTTTTTAGGATATTACCAATAATGTTCAGGCATGTTATATAATTGGCACAAGCTTGAAACTTTGATTGGGAATGGGTTATTTTCTGTTACTTTTCTAATTTTGCATTTTGTTTTTTAATACCGGTACTCATAGCACTCCTTGTATGCACTCCCAAGTAAGCCTTTGAAAAGAATAATGTACACAATGGAATTTTGTTTGGGTTGTCCTTTGTGAGACCCAAAAGATCAAAGGGTCACCAAACTTATTTGTGACTTTCCATTTCAATATGTTACCATTTCAATTTGTTACCATTTCATCAGTATTGCCAATACAACTAGAAATTCCAGTGATCAGTTTAAGAAGAATCTTAACCTGGACAATTATCTACTTGTAATTGATAAGATATTACTCGGGGGTCTCCATTTGCTTAAGTCCATTATCAGGGACATAGAATCTAGGCAAATCTTTGATTTGCCACTTGACTACAAGTTCCTTTGCCCAAGATCTTACAGGAATTCCTAATCTTTTCTTATTTAATGTCCTTGCTCAAACAGATTTTAATGGCTGAAGAACATCTGGAAAGTTTAGGTGCAAAGCACAATCATAAAACAGGGACAAATATAAAAAGGTCTACTTTAGAGAATGTGAAAGATTATCACCTCACCATTGTTCCTTCAGACTGGTTTACCGTGGATTCATTGCATCAAGACAGTGCATTGGCAAGATTGTTAAAGTCTGTAAACTTTTCACAGTTTTCATCCCTAGAGATGGCTTCTGGATCTGCTCTACTTAAGTTTGTATCTTATACTCAAAGAGACATTGCTCCCCTTCTCAATCAGCCATCCAAGTTTTCACTTCAAACCCATATGGCAATAGATTCAAATACAAGACGAGCTCTGGAACTAACCAAACCCTTGGTGGGTGCAGACTCAAAAGCTACACTCTTTGGAGTCATGAATAACACAGCAACTGCATCAGGGCAAAGACTGCTTTATTCTCGCCTTTGTGCACCCTCAAATGATGTTAATGTGATACAAAAAAGATTGATTGAGGTTGACTTCTTTTGTATGAATAGGCATCTTGCCGAGGACATTCAGAAGGCCTTGAAATCATGTCCAGATGTAGAGCGTCAAATGCAGAAGGTAAGTCGTTGGTTACCTAACAAACATCTTAAGGTCGTGTTGAAGCCACACCTATAACACAGTGATTTAATTGCATAAGCTGGTGGTATGTAGCCCTCTCCTACACACCTATACACGACTATTTTGGGTACCACATTAACACTCTCACTTATTATTAACTGCCGAACGATTTAGTCATTGATTTTTTGCTTAAAAGATTGCCACAGGGGCTGCGAGTCTGAGTGACCTTCATGCCATATACAGTGCAATAGCTCTCTACAAATATATTCTCTTGCTGCTCCACGATACATACTTTGATGTTAACGTACGAGCCATTGAGGAATTGCTGATGGAGGACTTCAGTTTGTTGGATGATTTGTACAAAGAGTTGGATACAGCAGTTGGCAAAGTTGAATCAGAACATACCGTCATGAAAGGCTACTCCAACAAGGCAGATAAGATAAAGGAGAATCTGTACGAAAACGCCAAACAAGTTCATGAGTTAAAAGATGTTTACAGGTACTTCTCTGAATGTAAAGTATGAACATATTCGCTCGGAAAATGTCTTGAATCTTTAATAATATTTGATAGCGTTTTTTTTCGGTTGGTTTCTTACTATAGAGTGGGCCTGAAGATTCCTCGTCTAACTATCAGTAACCACAAGTCCTTTATACGGGTCGTAGAAATACCTTTGACAAAGAAAAACTCTCTAGAGGGGAAACAAGATTTTGTTTTTCTGGAAAGTACCAAAGACAAAGCGCGCTATAGCACCTTAAAACTACAAGAGCTGAATGCGAAATGGAAAGCTTTACAAGAAGAAAATGAGACTATTCAGCGGGAACTGTCTGATGACCTTTCTCATCAGGTATATGATATTACCATAGCAAAGATTTTTTTCAGCATATGTAGTGACGTTCAGGGTAAACAGTCCTCTAACGAACATGTTTAGGTGCTCTGACTTCCTACCATCGTGGTGCAACTTCACAGAAGGGAATAATCAGTGAAATGCCCCTCAGATCTTACCTTCCTTAGCGGAGCATAGAAACGAGTCTTGGGGGCTTCGAGAAATGTAAATTTGTCAGTCATACTCACCGTGAGTGCAGTAAAGTAAATCCTTTGCAGTGATGTGTGCATAGTTTATTAGCGTTATATAAATGTCCCTTTTTACATACCCTCTACAACCGGTGTTATTGACACTTAACGGAGCAAATGTAGGTTGAAGTCGTCATCAGCTGATGAGAAACAGAAAACTGTTTCAGGCTGAACAGAATTAAAGGTTCAGTAAACAGAAAACGATCTTTTTAGTGCCACTGAGCCGAACAGATATTATTTAGACATCGACCCTTGCTGAAACAACGTAGGTTAGCAAAAGACATCGGTTGTGTATAGGGTTTGGAATACACCAAATCTATTAAAAAAGATGATATCTGAGAAAAGTCGGGTTCTAAATAGGACACTGACACATCCCTTCTGGTAGAAAGTTACGTGTAAAAATCATCTGTTGGAAAACTTGCAAACCCCATTGGAAAACAGTTGTTGGAAGCTGCTTATCAAATATTGTTCTCCTTTCCTGTTAACCTTACCTACATCTGCGAAAAGAAGTTAGCTCAGGTGATAACTGTAGTATTTGGCTCTTTCAAGGTGACTTCGCATGCTGAAAGTCTGAAGAAAATGGCTGTTGCGCTGGCTGAGTTGGATGTGTCCTCTTCTCTGGCAGTTCTCGCTCTAAAAAGAGGTTATGTCAAACCCATCATAGGAAATCAAAATGAATTTCTTGTGAAAGGGGGTCGACATCCTGTTGTTGACGTGCTTCAGCCTAACAGTTTTGTTTGTAATGACTGTGACCTGAGCGAGAAGAACCTCTGGATTATCACAGGTCCGAATATGGGCGGTAAGTGCCGCTTCATTAGCAATCACTTCTTTTCAGTAAGATACCCATTGTATCTGTCGGGCGAAACCAATCCTTCATATTTAGATAAATGATATTTTCCCTTAGAGACGTTTAACTCATCACGTCTAAAAGCGTATCCGTTAGCTTAAAGAAAGTTAAGTGTGGCACAGAATTTTCATTATTATGTGAAATTTGCGAGGCTGATTTCCATACCCTGTGTTTGCCTTGAGGTGGCTACTCGATCAGAGCTGGTAAAATCACTTACATTTCACCTCTTAAAATAATCACTTACATTTCACCTCTTAAAATAATCACTTACATTTCACCTCTTAAAATAATCACTTACATTTCACCTCTTAAACTAATCACTTACATTTCACCTCTTAAAATAATCAGCGAAGAAAGGTCGTCATGTGCACATACACACTAGGATTTAAATAAGTAAATACGTAAATTGAAGTTCCACCTTAGGGGCTTTTCAGCTATATTGTAGACTAACTAAGTGCTTAAAATCCCCACTAGCAGGAGGCAAACTGTTGGGCTATTTTCAGAGCACAGCCGAGAAGTTGAACTCGGGGCAACCGAGAACAAATCCAGTGAGTGGCAGGGTGGAGGACTTGAACCCGGGACGCCGGATTACAAGTCCAGCATCCTAACCACTCAGCCACGCCGCCTCCTCCTAATAGGATTTCATGGCAGAAAACGAGTGACAAAAATAGGAAAGATAATAGGAGCTGCAAGTTGCAAAGAAGCCTTTCTGTTACTCTCTAAGTGCTAATAAGTCTTTAATGAAATGATCTTTCGATCTTATAGGTAAGAGTACATTTCTTCGTCAAAACGCATTGATAGCCATTCTCGCACAAGCGGGTTCCTTTGTTCCAGCACAGAGTGCGAAGATAGGTAAGTTGGAGAACGAAGATGTTTTTCGTGGTCTTCGCCATTTAAATCGATGTGATTGTTAATTTCACTACGTGCAGCTGTTTGGAGAACAGGACGGTGTCCATCAACAGAATTAACAAGGTTGCATAGAAGAACACTTTCACTAAAAGGCTTCCCCCAACTGAACTATCTATCAACCTTCAAACTACGTGGACTTACTGCTGCCTAGTCAACCACTTTGAATTTTAAACTTATTGCTTTACATTTTGAAACGCCTTAAAAGGGTGACAACTATAAATTTGTTTCCTGTCTTGTACGTCTTCCACTTTGAAGAAGGTCCTCAAGGTTGGAAGATAACAGCCATCGAGCTGCATGGCGATCCTTTCCACTTAATTTTCAAAAGAAAATAACGTGTGTGTGTGCCTTTTTTTTTTTTTTTTCTTTTTTTTCCGATAATTATTATTTACTTTATCTAGGTGTTATTGATCGACTGTTCGCACGGATCGGGGCCACTGACAATCTAGCACAACATCAATCTACCTTTATGACGGAGATGCTGGAAACAGCTTTCATCCTGGCTCAAGCCACCGAGAAGTCCTTAGTTGTTGTAGATGAAGTTGGTGAGAATTGTGCTACTTGTGATAAAGAGTAAAACTTTGCCACCGTTAAAACCATAACCTAATCTTTTCAAAGAACGACCATTACCTGGGACAAGTTACCAAGCAGTAAATATTGTTGGGATATATTCTGTAACTGTTTTTTGTTGTTGTTTTTTTTTGGTTTGTTGGTATGTTTTAGAAATAAAGCTGGACAATAAACAAACAACACTTTTCTGAGTTCTATATTAATCTCTTGATTACTTTAAAAAAGTTGTGCTGTGGGTCTTTGTGTTACCTTCAGGTCGTGGTACATCAGTGCTGGATGGTGTGTCAATAGCGTGGGCTGTAGTTGAACATCTCCACAGCTCCATTAAGTGCAGAACACTGGCCTCAACTCATTACTATCAACTTGCCAAGCTGGCCCACACTTTGCCGCGTGTCGACTGTTACCACGTTACTGCCTTGCGCTCGAAAAATGGGTTAAGTTTCACGTACAAAATTATGGTAAGTTGCGGTGATGATGTTGTATAGTGCTATTTACATTCCACAATCAGTAGCACTTTTTACAATCCGAAATAACTTTATTTACAACATGCAGTGAAGGAGGGCACGGAACAGGTTAATTAACATTATAAGAGTACTGTAACTAGAGGAATGCAAAATAATTATAATGGCAAGGGGCCTATTATCCTCGACCCGGTAGTTCATATTGTAGTTTTGATTTGTAGGTTCACCCTGCCCGTTTTAATTGCTAATTCTACTGACCAGTATTAAAGGAGTTTATGTAATTTATCTTTTCCGAGTCGCATACACTGATAACAGTACCTGTTGAATTCGTTATTGTTAAAAGTTCAGTTTTTTAGGTCGTACTAGACTTTTTATTAATTTGTTTATTTTTCATTCATTTATCTATTTTTTAAATTATTTATTTCTTTATTTACCTGTGTTTTCTCTAGCGCGGATGTGATCGAAAATCCTTTGGTATCGATGTAGCAAAACTTGCAGGGGTCCCTATAACGGTTGAGGCTCGTGCGAGGGAAATTCTCCAGGTTTTTGAGGACAAAGGAAACAGTTTTGAGGTTACTTTGGAGGAGGACAAACTAGTTCCAGAGTCTCAGGCAGCACAAAAAGGCAAAGAACACTCAAATACATCTTCTTTAATCCCAGCGAACGATTCGCAAGTTGAAAGTGAACTCACCAAAGCGCTTCTGGTGCTTAATCCAGAGTTACTCACACCAAAGCAAGCTTTAGAGATAATTTATGACCTACAGTCGAAAGCACGGTGTAAATCCTCCTGAAAGAATTACTAGTTATTCTAACTACGTGTTACTTCTGTTACGAAGGGATACCGCAAAACCTTCGAGTACGTCTGGGGAAGACGAAGGGTAGTGAAATACATTGCTTCGCCATGCCGAGGAGAATGCAGCTGCAGTCGGGCTCTGGAGTCCTTGTGACATCGCGATCCCTAAACCGGAAATGAGAATGAGAGCCAAAGCGGCAAGGAATTCTTTTATCTGCCTCCTCGTATACTTAGGAGGTCTTAGACGACACTTTACAATTGACTTCTGTGACACTGTATTCATGTTTTGGGTTTGCAACTTATGTTATTCAGATATTTTAATTTTTTTCTCTCTTTGAGAACTTAGTTGTAGTAGTTATGTTCAGGTGGACTTTGAGAAATGAAACTTGCAAACAGTTGGCCCACAAAATTCTACAGCAACATTAATATTGCAGGACCTCTCGGGTTTCCAGTCAACTCGCCACGACTGAGAGTCAGATCGCTACCGTTGGCGAATTGACCCGTTGACGATCATCGTTGAAGGCTCTTTCTCTGGATTTCTACAAGACGTTTTGATTAAGGAGCACACCTCTCTAGGTATTTCCTGAAACGGCGAACGAAAGTTTGGTTATTAAATTGCCGTAAGTCAGTGGTGACAATCGATGAGTTAACAAGTGCTCAAATTTCCAAAAATAAGCTTCGTATTCGCTTTACACTTTCTTTAGGTTCAGTGCCCCGCGAGCAGAGGTCCCTTCGATCTTCCTAGAAATGTCGTGAAGATTTCAAGGAAGATCGAAGGGCCTTCTGCTCGCAGGGTATAGGTTTAGTAACTTGACAGTCTTATGAAAACTGCGTTCCGCAGAGCCCAGAAATAAATCATTTAAGATAATACTTCATTCTGAACGATATAAATCGAATAATGAATGTGGCTGTCGAAGGGAGCATCCCAGACATGGATCATGTTTACATTAGGTACTGTCGGCCGACTTCTTTCTTTTGAGTGTTTAGCTATCGGCTGCTAGTGTCAAAGTGTCGGCCGATACGCGACCGGCACTCGATCAATACGTCGACCGACAGTAAACATGATCTCCTGACATTCTCTTAGTTACTCTAACGAATTCAAAATTTGACTCGCTTGCCTATCAGGAACCACTAGAGGACGACCAAGCGGCTTTTCTCCAAAATCTTGAGCACATTCTTAATTTCGCATCATCAGAACCAAAAATAAATAAACTTCAAAATCCAAAGTTTCATTTAATATCAGTTTCATTAGATTTGATCACGAACTGCATTCATAAGAACGAAACTCTTGTTGTCACGTTGATTATTCTTTGTTCTCAAAACAATGAAAGGAGGCCAAGTCCATTTCTGTTAACTCCGCTGTATTTGTACGCACTCTTGATGTCGCATTATACTACTACATCTTAGCCTTCGATTGATGTAAGTTTTACAAGATTTCATAACCGTTAGAAAATCACCCGACGAAAATCACTGTGTTTCGCTGTACGTTAACTGATCATAATCTTCGTGAAATCATATTTTATTTCATTTAACGGTTAACGTTCCCTTTTTGAGTCCTCGATTTTACCACACCTTAGCTTTTATTTGATGTAAGTTTCCTACGAAAGGCTACTATATCGGTCAATTCGCCGACACACACTCGCCACCTAAGAGTTAAATCGCCAAATGGCCATTGACTCTCAGTGGAGGTGAATTGACCGTAAACCCAGGCAACACAAAACGTCCGAGTTATATCGCCACCGGTGGCGATTTGAATTTCAATAGTGGCGAGTTGACCTGACACCACTTGAGGCTGTCGCTTCAGCTGCACCACTCTCATCGAGACAATCAGACCACGCAATACCCATTACTGATTTCAAATAATCTACTTTACACAGCATAACCTACTGAGTTTTACTTAAAATGCAATTATACAGCTACAGTTTCAGTTTACATCCATATACCGGTAAGTGTACGAAAAACTGACTGACGATCTCTCAAACTATACACACGCCTGAAATAAATACACAATATATTTATGTATATTTGGAAGTTCAACGGTAGACCGTACAATAAATAACACCTTATACGTTCAATGCGTCAACTGATTAACCACATTCAGGCAAAGAAAATCGAAAAAGCGTTTAACATACGTACGAAATTGGTACCTATTTACTTGATATATGAAAAAGCTTGATGCATTGAGAAGTTAGCTGTCACATCTTCACTGGTTCACCTAACTGAATTCTCCTATTCACTGCACTGAGACAAAAATTTGACTTGGGCCAACCTCAACTGGCAGAGCTCTTATCTTTTAAATAAAGTGTGCCTGAAGGCCAAATGCTCCACAGTATGATTGTTTTTATGGTGGAGTAATATCTACAACCTACAATCCAATAAAACTGCGACATTTTTAACATTTTGTAAATTTTGGTTTCGCTATATATAGGTGTGCCACGGGTCATATTGAGGCTTTGGATCACTTTGGACTGACTAACTGAATTACTAAATTGATCGCAGTACTGTTGTTTCTCACAGTTTTATAAAAGTTGTGCGAGAATAAAAAAAAAAAGCCACCAGTAACTATAAGGTATTTATATCATACATTTATTTAATTAATCTATTCAACGGGCATATACTTATAATCATGGTTAAAAAAGCTGCTTGTCGGGTGAAATGAACTGGCATGAGAACGTTCGGTTGACTAAAGAAAAAAAAATGAAACGTGTGCAACTTCTTAACCATGATCAGAAGTTCTCATATCAAACTCCAGAGACGTTCTCAAAATTCCTGGTTGTCTCTTGCTTTGAAGTCCTATAATTAGCTAATGAAGAACCTTCCCAGATTACTACAGCCAGTTAACAGCCCAGGCAGCCTCACCAAACTTTACTTGTGAAAAATTCGGGAGTTTCAAGAAGGCCAAACAAAAAAACAAAAAAAAGTATATTCACATTTCATTTTCATGCTCATTCAAACAACTTTAACCTGTGTCTACCAAACACTTTGGATACTCACCAAGGAGGAACATTGCTACATTAAAATATTTCAAAGTTCACTTCAATGTGAGGAAAATTATAAACTTCCACTTCTACCATCTGACACTGCACCCCAAATGTCAAATATAAAATCGTCTGGAAACTGGAAGTCAGCAAATTCTTCATCTACAGCCATAGCAAAATCGCTTGGATTGGAGACTGTTTTACTCTTCAATACCAGTGTCTCAGCTAAGAAAAAAAGGATTAGAGAACCATATCAAGAAAGACACTACAATGAGAAAGTTAAAGCATCTTCAAAGGCTGCAAACATGATCCACCTCCTAAATAAGACCAGAGTGGAAATGGTATCACTTTGTTCAGCAACCTAAACTGTGTCTTTAGATGCTGTATGTGTCACCATTTTATTGACAGTAGGAGCATGATCAGCAGTACAAATATACGCCATAAAAACTTGCATCCCTATCATAATAGCTCACCCAGATCAGGGTCCCTTATACCAATAAAGCTTTCCAACAGGTCATCTATTCTCTGAGCAGCTTTCAGCTCCCATGCAGGTGCCTACAATTTGATAAAAGTTCAACATATAGGAGTCAAATAATTTGCCAAACAGTACATATGTTTACCACTGAAGCCATTTTTTTAGGGTGAAACACTGAACAGCCCCCAACTTTTAAAAGCTGCTTTAGCCAGACTGTTACTGTTCCATGTTGTTTTTTTGTGTCCATTTACATGAGTTAGCGACAAATTGTACCAATCAAATGCTCCTCAACTTGCACAACTCATCATTGAGTAAATTTAAAAGTATGGAAAAGTCTGTAAAATTTTCTCTCAAATGTAAAACAAAAATTAATGGGAGGGTTTTAAAATAAATAGACCCCTTTCTTATTTGATGGAAAAGCAAAGCCTCAAAGGGAAATGGAAATTTTGAGGACAATTTCTCAGTCAAGGACATAATCAGCCAACCTACCAGCAAGCCAGGAGGGGTTTATTTATTTTATAACCCTCTCATTAATTTTTGTTTCACAATTTAACAGCAAATTTTGATAACTTTTTCAAACTTTTAATTGACTTGATTTGAGCTCAGTTTAGTTAAGAAGACACCCAGCCCGGTGTGCCCCAACATGTAAACTCATTTCATATCCATCATAACTTGTTATGTATAAATTGCCACAGCAATAGGTGGCACAATATTATACCAAGATTTACATAACTAAATATTTTGTTTTCTTTGCAAGAAGCTTTGGAAAATTTCTCCAATATCCCAATTGATTCCGTTGCAGAAGACAGCTCAGGGTACATAATTATGTCTAATTAGACATTTTGTTGTGTAGTATCACAGAGTATTTTTACGAGTTGTGCTATATTTTGATGAGCCATTAGGGCGAGTCAAAATACAACCAATAAGTAAAAATACTCAGCGATACTACACAACAAAACATCTAATAAGAGATTTATTATCCAACACGCCAAATTGTTATTTCAGTGCACACGAATTTTGCAGATATTTCTGAAGTACAAATATCATGTGATATTTGTACTCGTCTCACACATTATTTATACTCTATGAAGCACAGTTGGATAACATATGTATATACACCCCTGTACAACAAGACAGTCTGTCCAATCTGGCTCTCTTACCAGATCACGATTTGAAAAAAGAACTATCTAAACAGCTAACCATAGAAAGACTAAATTATAGTGTGTGAGTAATTATATTACAGTACAATGCATCGTATCATAGACCTAACAATGACTATCACCTCTTCTGTTTCCACAACAGGGGGACCCTTGGATCTTAATCGCAGAGTTGTCTTCCCACTTCCTACTGCATTAGCAGCTGAAGTGGAATTGCCTCCACGACTTCCTGTTCTTGGACCTATACCCTCTGGAAAATGAAAAACACTTTTTCATCAATGAGATAGATTAAATATATGAAAATCATATATTTTGAACTGTGGTATTTGATACGTATGATGCACGATCCTCGCAGTAGATAGCGCTATTTAAGCAATAGCGAAATTCAGACCTGAAAAAAATCAGGCCTGTACGGGACTCGAACCACTGACCTCTGCGATACTAGTGCAGCGCTCTAACCAATTGAGCTAACAAGCCAACTGAGAGCAGGCCGTTAAGTTGATTCGTAATGAACCCGTGAAAGTGATAAATGAGATAGAATAAATATATGAAAATCATATATTTTGAACTGCGGTATTTGATACGTATGATGCACGATCCTCGCAGTAGATAGCGCTATTTAAGCAATAGCGAAATTCAGACCTGAAAAAAATCAGGCCTGTACGGGACTCGAACCACTGACCTCTGCGATACTAGTGCAGCGCTCTAACCAATTGAGCTAACAAGCCAACTGAGAGCAGGCCGTTAAGTTGATTCGTAATGAACCCGTGAAAGTGATAAATGAGATAGAATAAATATATGAAAATCATATATTTTGAACTGCGGTATTTGATACGTATGATGCACGATCCTCGCAGTAGATAGCGCTATTTAAGCAATAGCGAAATTCAGACCTGAAAAAAATCAGGCCTGTACGGGACTCGAACCACTGACCTCTGCGATACTAGTGCAGCGCTCTAACCAATTGAGCTAACAAGCCAACTGAGAGCAGGCCGTTAAGTTGATTCGTAATGAACCCGTGAAAGTGATAAATGAGATAGAATAAATATATGAAAATCATATATTTTGAACTGCGGTATTTGATACGTATGATGCACGATCCTCGCAGTAGATAGCGCTATTTAAGCAATAGCGAAATTCAGACCTGAAAAAAATCAGGCCTGTACGGGACTCGAACCACTGACTTCAAAATATATGATTTTCATATATTTATTCTATCTCATTTATCACTTTTACGGGTTCATTACGAATCAACTTAACGGCCTGCTCTCAGTTGGCTTGTTAGCTCAATTGGTTAGAGCGCTGCACTAGTATCGCAGAGGTCAGTGGTTCGAGTCCCGTACAGGCCTGATTTTTTTCAGGTCTGAATTTCGCTATTGCTTAAATAGCGCTATCTACTGCGAGGATCGTGCATCATACGTATCAAATACCGCAGTTCAAAATATATGATTTTCATATATTTATTCTATCTCATTTATCACTTTCACGGGTTCATTACGAATCAACTTAACGGCCTGCTCTCAGTTGGCTTGTTAGCTCAATTGGTTAGAGCGCTGCACTAGTATCGCAGAGGTCAGTGGTTCGAGTCCCGTACAGGCCTGATTTTTTTCAGGTCTGAATTTCGCTATTGCTTAAATAGCGCTATCTACTGCGAGGATCGTGCATCATACGTATCAAATACCGCAGTTCAAAATATATGATTTTCATATATTTATTCTATCTCATTTATCACTTTCACGGGTTCATTACGAATCAACTTAACGGCCTGCTCTCAGTTGGCTTGTTAGCTCAATTGGTTAGAGCGCTGCACTAGTATCGCAGAGGTCAGTGGTTCGAGTCCCGTACAGGCCTGATTTTTTTCAGGTCTGAATTTCGCTATTGCTTAAATAGCGCTATCTACTGCGAGGATCGTGCATCATACGTATCAAATACCGCAGTTCAAAATATATGATTTTCATATATTTATTCTATCTCATTTATCACTTTCACGGGTTCATTACGAATCAACTTAACGGCCTGCTCCCAGTTGGCTTGTTAGCTCAATTGGTAGAGCGCTGCACTAGTATCGCAGAGGTCAGTGGTTCGAGTCCCGTACAGGCCTGATTTTTTTCAGGTCTGATTTTCGCTATTGC